CCTGGGTTTACCTGGAGAGATTTCCGGGGGTCAACGCCCCGCGGCCCGGTCTGAAAACCAGGCCTCCTGGGGGATCAAAAGCCTGATAAAACCAGGCTGTTGCTGTGGCTGCACGCAAAACCAACATACGAGCCACACCCCCGGCTGACCCGGAACGACTTTAGGGCTTGTCCGTGCCAGCGAAACTGCCAGGGGTCTGTTGGGAATCCCCCCTTTTGTTGCTGGGGGGCGTTGAACAGTCTCGGGCCCCTGCACTTATTGTAGGTTCCTTAACGTCATGACACCCCTGCTTTCATTGGGGGGGGTGGTGCATCGTCTGCCAAATCTTTTGCTTTGTAGTGGGTGTTTTTTGTGTCAAGTTCGGTTCTAGTCCCTTAGGATTTTCCAGGTGTATAAAATCTGTATTCTCCTCCTGCGTTTTTGGGAATACAGGGTTTTGGAACCTCAAGCGCTCCCAATAATTTAGGGTTTTTTTCCATTTTTTGGCGCCGTGAAAGTTCTTGTACATTTTTAGGCGGCAATTTCACCGCCTTTAAAAGGTGTGTTATGTGCAGCAATATTTCCCGCCTAAAAGAACAGTGACCTGAAGAGTCTCATGGGCTTGGCCCCCTGTTTTTTAAGGTTTCATTATCCATCCCGTCATTTTTTCTAGAGATGCGATTGATACAATGTTTGGTCCTTTAAGGTGAGATCCCCCGCAAACACTCCCCCGGTCTTTGGTTGGTGTTTCGTCTATTTTGTGGCCAGAATTTGTTTTGTACTCTGATGAAGATTTAATTTCCTCATGTTTACCATATCTGAGTAATTGAAATTTCTCATCGTTGAACTTCATATTGTTTTCTGCAGCCCACTGAAAGATTTGGTTGATGTCTGCCTGGAGCTTTGCAGTGTCTGCAATGGAAGACACTGTCATGCAGATTCGGGTGTCATCTGCAAAGGAAGACACGGTGCTGTGGCTGACATCCTTGTCTATGTCGGATATAAGGATGAGGAACAAGATGGGAGCGAGTACTGTGCCTTGTGGAACAGAGCTTTTCACCGTAGCTGCCTCGGACTTTACTCTGTTGACGACTACTCTCTGTGTTCTGTTAGTGAGGAAATTATAGATCCATCGACCGACTTTTCCTGTTATTCCTTTAGCACGCATTTTGTGCGCTATTACGCCATGGTCACACTTGTCGAAGGCTTTTGCAAAGTCTGTATATATTACATCTGCATTCTTTTTGTCTTCTAGAGAATAAACTTTGAATTGAATTGAATAATAATAATAATAATAATAATAATAATAATAATAATAATAATAATGCCATTTTCTTACTTTGATCCAACCTGAATAGACAATTTTTTTCGGCGGATTTTGGCTATTAATTATAGTTTGAATTATACAATAATTTCGTTATATCTTTCATATACTATTTTGTGTGTAAATAATAAAAGTAATATATCATAACGAACCTAGGATAACCTTACTCTACCACTGGTAGATATGGAACTAAAATGTCTTTGTTTCCATTTGGATTGTCATGTGAGACAAAACTGTTGATTGTATGACCCTTGTGGGTTTAGTGCTTAGTTCTGATCAGTACTGTTGATTGACCCCGGCATGTTACACAAGCAGAATGTATTATTTTTGATATCCCCAAAAATTTGCATAAGAAATATTTATTTCGTGGTGTATGTAGGTTGTATGTTTTATAAAACGTAAACAGATGCTTTGGCTCTGTCGAGTAGTGCAATGCTGTGTGATACAGAGTAGTAGTAAATAGAGTAAAGTCTGAGGCACCTACAGTGAAAAGCTGTTCCACAAGGCACAGTACTCGCTCTCATCCTATTCCTCATCCTTATATTTGACATAGACAGAGATGTAAGCCATAGCTCTGTGTCTTCCTTTGTGGATGACACCTGAATTGCCATGACAGTGACCTCCATTGAAGACATTGCAAGACTTCAAGCGGACATCAACCAAATCTTCAAATGAGCCACTGAAAACAATATAAAGTTCAATGGAGAGAAATTTCAGCTACTCAGATAAAGAAAACTTGAGGAAGTTAAAACTGTATCAAGGTATACAACAAATTCTAACCAGACAATAGAGTGAAAAAGTAATGTGAAGGACCTGGGAGTGATGATGTCGGAGGACCTTGCCTTCAAAGACCACAACAATGTATCTAGTATCTACCTCATCTGCTATAAAAAATGATAGGATGAATAATGAGAACCTTCAGAACTAGGGACGCCAAGCCCATGATTATTCTCTTCAAATCGCTTGTTCTCTCTAGGCTGGTATACTGCTGTACACTAACTGCCCTTTCAAGGCAGGTGAAATTGCTGATCTGGAGAGTGTACAGAGAACTTTCACAGCACACATAAGTATGATAAAGTACCTAAATTACTGGGAAAGGTTGAAGTCCCATGATTTGTATTCCCTGGAATACAGGTGAGAAAGATACATGACAATATACATTTGAAAAATCTTAGAGGAATTAGTACCAAACTTGCACATGAAAATCACTCCCTATGAAAGCAGAAGACTCGGCAGGAGATGCAACATTTCCCCATTGAAAAGCAGGGGCACCACAAGTACGCTAAGAGAACACAATAAGTGTCAGGGGCCCAAGACTGTTCAACTGCCTCCCAGCAAACATTAAAGGGGATTACCAACAGACCCCTGGCTGTCTTCAAGAAGGCACTGGACAAGCACCTAAAATCGGCAACTGATCAGCTAGGCTGTGGTTGATACATTGGTTTACATGTGGCCAGCAGTAACAGCCTGGTTGATCAGACCCTGATCCACCATGAGGCCTGGTCTCAGACCGGGCCGTGGGGGTGTTGACCCTTGAAATCCTCTCCAGGTATACTCCAGACCCTTGTGGGCTTAGTGCTTAATTATGATTATGATACTGATTATAATTATATAATTATAATTATTATAACTATTATTATGACAATCTCACATTCCCTGAGTACTATATAGTCCCTCTGGGTTTAGCTCTCTTTTCCTGATTTTATTGGGTTATTATAAATTAAAGAATAACCCTAACAATTATGCTAAGTTAATATGCACGTGTTACTGCATAAAAATTGCAAAAATTTATTTTTATGCAAAAATGCATTTTTAGATTACACATTTAATTGCAGTGTAAAAATGCTTTACGTAACTAGACAGTTTTACATGTAAGAAGTAACATTGGTAAGTTATTCTAATGCCTCTTTGAAGTTGTGAAATAAACTGATGATAAAGAATGATGATGATGATTTTATTATTTATTATTATTGTTTTTGTTATTATTAAGTATTATTATTGTTTTTGTTATTATTATTATTATTATTATTATTGTTTTTATTATTTTTATTATATTTTCTTATTCATTTATTCATTCATTTATTCATTCATTTATTTAATTATTATTAATGTAACTTAAAGGCTTAATTAATTATTTCTAATATGTCACATGAAGAAATAGTATCTTGACTGGATAGACAATTTTGGTTATAATAATTATTGGGTGGTAGAAATATACAGGTGTGATGACAATACAATAATGCATGAGCATGAATGCTGACTGGGTCTGGAGAAACAAGTTACACTTGATACAGGCAGGTCTCACTTATACAGCAGGTTAGGTTCCGGGCTACTGCCGTACAGGAGGACCCTGCTTATATGGCAGGTTAGGTTCTGGGCTACTGCTGTACAGGTGGGCCCCGCTTATATGGCAGGTTAGGTTCTGGGCTACTGCTGTACAGGTGGGCCCTGCTTATATGGCAGGTTAGGTTCTGGGCTACTGCTGTACAGGTGGGCCCTGCTTATATGGCAGGTTAGGTTCTGGGCTACTGCTGTACAGGTGGGCCCTGCTTATATGGCAGGTTAGGTTCTGGGCTACTGCTGTACAGGTGGGCCCTGCTTATATGGCAGGTTAGGTTCTGGGCTACTGCTGTACAGGTGGGCCCTACTTATATGGCAGGTTAGGTTCTGGGCTACTGCTGTACAGGTGGGCCCTGCTTATATGGCAGGTTAGGTTCTGGGCTACTGCTGTACAGGTGGGCCCTACTTATATGGCAGGTTAGGTTCTGGGCTACTGCTGTACAGGTGGGCCCTGCTTATATGGCAGGTTAGGTTCTGGGCTACTGCTGTACAGGTGGGCCCTACTTATATGGCAGGTTAGGTTCTGGGCTACTGCTGTACAGGTGGGCCCCGCTTATATGGCAGGTTAGGTTCTGGGCTACTGCTGTACAGGTGGGCCCCGCTTATATGGCAGGTTAGGTTCTGGGCTACTGCTGTACAGGTGGGCCCTACTTATATGGCAGGTTAGGTTCTGGGCTACTGCTGTACAGGTGGGCCCTGCTTATATGGCAGGTTAGGTTCTGGGTTACTGCTGTACAGGTGGGCCCTACTTATATGGCAGGTTAGGTTCTGGGCTACTGCTGTACAGGTGGGCCCCGCTTATATGGCAGGTTAGGTTCTGGGCTACTGCTGTACAGGAGGGCCTCACTTATGCAGCAGGTTAGGTTCCGGGCTACTCCTGTACAGGACGGTCCCTCTTATACAGCATGTTAAGTTCCGGGCTGCTACTGTAAAATGAAAATCGCTGTAAAGTGAAACACACATTACTTACCTTGAAATATTTTCATCCTTAGCTTATACAGTGGACCCCCGGTTAACGATATTTTTTCACTCCATAAGTATGTTCAGGTGCCAGTACTGACTGAATTTATTCCCATAAGGAATATTGTGAAGTAGATTAGTCCATTTCAGACCCCCAAACATACACGTACAAACGCACTTACATAAATACACTTACATAATTGGTCGCATTCGGAGGTAATCGTTATGCGGGGGTCCACTGTATTCAGTGGTGAATATATTTATTGTAGGAAGCCTGAATAAAAGTAGAATGGGTATAATTGAAAACTGCTGTAAAGTGAGGTGCTGTAAAGCAAGACCCCCTCCTGTATATTAAACAGTGATGTGTATATTAGCTATTAAGACATTGATTAGACATTGTTAAGGGGAAGGCAGGGGATACCAAGTTAGGAATTTTTCTTTAGTAATTGTGCTTTTCTTATGAGTTCTTTATCTTATAGTTATCTTATTGCAGCTGTGTCACAGCAATGGCAACTACAGTTTTCCAGGAGTTTCAAGAAGACAGTGAGTAGAGTACAGCACTTAGTTTCTGTTATTGTACCTAAAAGCTCATTGTTCATTTTGCCTTTGGATCCATTTATTTTTCAAATTTCATATATATACAATAAAGCACAGCAATTTACAGTTGATGATAGAATGCAATAAAATCTATGAATTTATTATAAAATGTTGCTAGTTGATTCTAGTGAAGGATATTTCTGATGGCCAACTCAGAGTCTTGCAAGATAACATTTTTGTTCTGTTTTAAACCATGCTTTTAATGAGAGTGCATTATTAGCTTGCTACTGTGTATAAAGCACTGAGGCTGCAGGTTCCTTATATCTTATATAGGTAGTAGGTTGGTAGACAGCAACCACCCAGGGAAGTACTACCGTCCTGCCAGATGACTGTGAAACAAAAACCTGTAACTGTTTTGCATGATGGTAGGATTGCTGGTTTCTTTTTCTGTCTCATAAACACGCTAAGATAACAGGGATATCTTGCTACTCCTACTTACACTTTGGTCACACTTCACAGACACGCACATGCATATATATATATACATACATCTAGGTTTTTCTCTTTTTTCTAAATAGCTCTTGTTCTTTTTTATTTCTTCTATTGTCCATGGGGAAGTGGAAAAGAATCTTTCCTCCGTAAGCCATGCGTGTCGTATGAGGCGACTAAAATGCCGGGAGCAATGGCTAGTAACCCCTTCTCCTGTATACAATTACTAAAAAAGAGAAGAAGAAAAACTTTATAAAACTGGGTTGCTTAAATGTGCGTGGATGTAGTGCGGATGACAAGAAACAGATGATTGCTGATGTTATGAATGAAAAGAAGTTGGATGTCCTGGCCCTAAGCGAAACAAAGCTGAAGGGGGTAGGAGAGTTTCAGTGGGGGGAAATAAATGGGATTAAATCTGGAGTATCTGAGAGAGTTAGAGCAAAGGAAGGGGTAGCAGTAATGTTAAATGATCAGTTATGGAAGGAGAAAAGAGAATATGAATGTGTAAATTCAAGAATTATGTGGATTAAAGTAAAGGTTGGATGCGAGAAGTGGGTCATAATAAGCGTGTATGCACCTGGAGAAGAGAGGAATGCAGAGGAGAGAGAGAGATTTTGGGAGATGTTAAGTGAATGTATAGGAGCCTTTGAACCAAGTGAGAGAGTAATTGTGGTAGGGGACTTGAATGCTAAAGTAGGAGAAACTTTTAGAGAGGGTGTGGTAGGTAAGTTTGGGGTGCCAGGTGTAAATGATAATGGAGCCCTTTGATTGAACTTTGTATAGAAAGGGGTTTAGTTATAGGTAATACATATTTTAAGAAAAAGAGGATAAATAAGTATACACGATATGATGTAGGGCGAAATGACAGTAGTTTGTTGGATTATGTATTGGTAGATAAAAGACTGTTGAGTAGACTTCAGGATGTACATGTTTATAGAGGGGCTACAGATATATCAGATCACTTTCTAGTTGTAGCTATACTGAGAGTAAAAGGTAGATGGGATACAAGGAGAATAGAAGCATCAGGGAAGAGAGAGGTGAAGGTTTATAAACTAAAAGAGGAGGCAGTTAGGGTAAGATATAAACAGCTATTGGAGGATAGATGGGCTAATGAGAGCATAGGCAATGGGGTCGAAGAGGTATGGGGTAGGTTTAAAAATGTAGTGTTAGAGTGTTCAGCAGAAGTTTGTGGTTACAGGAAAGTGGGTGCAGGAGGGAAGAGGAGCGATTGGTGGAATGATGATGTAAAGAGAGTAGTAAGGGAGAAAAAGTTAGCATATGAGAAGTTTTTACAAAGTAGAAGTGATGCAAGGAGGGAAGAGTATATGGAGAAAAAGAGAGAAGTTAAGAGAGTGGTGAAGCAATGTAAAAAGAGAGCAAATGAGAGAGTGGGTGAGATGTTATCAACAAATTTTGTTGAAAATAAGAAAAAGTTTTGGAGTGAGATTAACAAGTTAAGAAAGCCTAGAGAACAAATGGATTTGTCAGTTAAAAATAGGAGAGGAGAGTTATTAAATGGAGAGTTAGAGGTATTGGGAAGATGGAAGGAATATTTTGAGGAATTGTTAAATGTTGATGAAGATAGGGAAGCTGTGATTTCGTGTATAGGGCAAGGAGGAATAACATCTTGTAGGAGTGAGGAAGAGCCAGTTGTGAGTGTGGGGGAAGTTCGTGAGGCAGTAGGTAAAATGAAAGGGGGTAAGGCAGCCGGGATTGATGGGATAAAGATAGAAATGTTAAAAGCAGGTGGGGATATAGTTTTGGAGTGGTTGGTGCAATTATTTAATAAATGTATGGAAGAGGGTAAGGTACCTAGGGATTGGCAGAGAGCATGCATAGTTCCTTTGTATAAAGGCAAAGGGGATAAAAGAGAGTGCAAAAATTATAGGGGGATAAGTCTGTTGAGTGTACCTGGTAAAGTGTATGGTAGAGTTATAATTGAAAGAATTAAGAGTAAGACGGAGAATAGGATAGCAGATGAACAAGGAGGCTTTAGGAAAGGTAGGGGGTGTGTGGACCAGGTGTTTACAGTGAAACATATAAGTGAACAGTATTTAGATAAGGCTAAAGAGGTCTTTGTGGCATTTATGGATTTGGAAAAGGCGTATGACAGGTGGATAGGGGGGCAATGTGGCAGATGTTGCAAGTGTATGGTGTAGGAGGTAGGTTACTGAAAGCAGTGAAGAGTTTTTACGAGGATAGTGAGGCTCAAGTTAGAGTATGTAGGAAAGAGGGAAATTTTTTCCCAGTAAAAGTAGGCCTTAGACAAGGATGTGTGATGTCACCGTGGTTGTTTAATATATTTATAGATGGGGTTGTAAGAGAAGTAAATGCGAGGGTTTTGGCAAGAGGCGTGGAGTTAAAAGATAAAGAATCACACACAAAGTGGGAGTTGTCACAGCTGCTCTTTGCTGATGACACTGTGCTCTTGGGAGATTCTGAAGAGAAGTTGCAGAGATTGGTGGATGAATTTGGTAGGGTGTGCAAAAGAAGAAAATTAAAGGTGAATACAGGAAAGAGTAAGGTTATGAGGATAACAAAAAGATTAGGTGATGAAAGATTGAATATCAGATTGGAGGGAGAGAGTATGGAGGAGGTGAACGTATTCAGATATTTGGGAGTGGACGTGTCAGCGGATGGGTCTATGAAAGATGAGGTGAATCATAGAATTGATGAGGGAAAAAGAGTGAGTGGTGCACTTAGGAGTCTGTGGAAACAAAGAACTTTGTCCTTGGAGGCAAAGAGGGGAATGTATGAGAGTATAGTTTTACCAACGCTCTTATATGGGTGTGAAGCGTGGGTGATGAATGTTGCAGCGAGGAGAAGGCTGGAGGCAGTGGAGATGTCATGTCTGAGGGCAATGTGTGGTGTGAATATAATGCAGAGAATTCGTAGTTTGGAAGTTAGGAGGAGGTGCGGGATTACCAAAACTGTTGTCCAGAGGGCTGAGGAAGGGTTGTTGAGGTGGTTCGGACATGTAGAGAGAATGGAGCGAAACAGAATGACTTCAAGAGTGTATCAGTCTGTAGTGGAAGGAAGGCGGGGTAGGGGTCGGCCTAGGAAGGGTTGGAGGGAGGGGGTAAAGGAGGTTTTGTGTGCGAGGGGCTTGGACTTCCAGCAGGCATGCGTGAGCGTGTTTGATAGGAGTGAATGGAGACAAATGGTTTTTAATACTTGACGTGCTGTTGGAGTGTGAGCAAAGTAACATTTATGAAGGGATTCAGGGAAACCGGCAGGCCGGACTTGAGTCCTGGAGATGGGAAGTACAGTGCCTGCACTCTGAAGGAGGGGTGTTAATGTTGCAGTTTAAAAACTGTAGTGTAAAGCACCCTTCTGGCAAGACAGTGATGGAGTGAATGATGGTGAAAGTTTTTCTTTTTCGGGCCACCCTGCCTTGGTGGGAATCGGCCGGTGTGATAATAAAAAAAAAAAAAAAAAAAAAAATGAGTGTGTTAGACTGTAATATTTATATGTATATATAAATATTGCATTTAAGTTATTAAGTTAGGTAAAAAAAGGGTTGATGGGAACATGCAAAGAAATAATGGGAAATTAAGACTGCAAGACATGACCTATAAAAAGAAGAAAGAATAAAATAAAATGTGTACAGTGATAGGAAGAAAAACATGTTTTTGTGGGGTACCAATATTGTTTTTAATTTATCTAAGTGGTTTACCAGAAATAACTGTAAATATATGGATATGTTTATAGATGATACAAAAGTCTTATGCAAAGTAAGAATTTCAAATGACATATTTTCTACATGAAGACTAGGATAGAATTGAGCTTGGGCTTTGTGAATATTAAATAATAATAATAATAATAATAATAATAATAATATAAAACTAGCATAGGTTGAGTAAGTGGAGTGATAAATGATTGATGTTACGTCATTCTGAGAGCAAAAACAGACCTCATGAGCATTATAGGTAGTGGTAGTTTGGAAATAGGATAGTTGATGAGTGGAACAGTCTGCCTAGTCGGGTTATTGAGGCTAAAACCTTGGGATAAATGCATGAGTGAGAGAGGTTGGATTTGAGTGGGTCTTGTGCATGGGTGGATAGATTATCAAAGCTTATTGCTTGGGTAGCATTGAAAATTGGGTTGGGCAAATATTCTGTTAGTGGGATGGATTGTGAAGGACCTGCTTAGTATAGGCCAACAGGCCTACTGCAGTGTTTCTCATTTTTTATGTTCTATGTTCTTATACAAAATATATGCAAGAATAAATGCAAGATATTGTTTGGCTTTAGAATGCTGTGCTTTAATACGAAGTATTAATTTTTTCAGATACGTATTCACCGTTTTTGGCAGATGACTTTGATGTTCAAAAGCATGCCAGCCAGTTGGTTCAGGGTGTCATTATTGCAGAGCAACTGAATAAACTTACTTTAGGTTTGTATTTTGTTCATGTACAGAAATTATTCACACGCAGTGTTGTTAAATCCATAACACAACTGTTAACTCTTACAAAAAGATTTCTGGAGCCAGTACAGTGGACCCCCGGTTAACGATATTTTTTCACTCCAGAAGTATGTTCAGGTGCCAGTACTGACTGAATTTGTTCCCATAAGAAATATTGTGAAGTAGATTAGTCCATTTCAGACCCCCAAACATACACGTACAAACGCACTTACATAAATACACTTACATAATTGGTCACATTCGGAGGTAATCGTTATGCGGGGGTCCACTGTATATGTAAAAATACCCTAATTAGATCATACATTGGTTGAATTGTCCATTACAGGAGGGCCCCTTTTGTACAGCTCTTAGGCTTTGACATCGTATGGTAAGTGAAAATTGCTGGTGTGTGGAAAAGAGCGATTTTTAATTATTGAAAAATTCTAAATGCCTGATAACATGTTTATACTATCACATATTAAGTGCTCAATACAGTTAGGCATTAAAAAATAGATACAAAAGTAAAATAAATATACAGTGCCTACAATACTTCCCTTAACCCGTAAACGGTCCAAGCAGATCTATGTTTACATGTGTAGTGCTACAAAAGTAGATCTAAGTTTTTTTACATATTTTCAAAAATAACAAGGAGGGGTGTTAATGTTGCAGTTTAAAAACTGTAGTGTAAAGCACCCTTCTGGCAAGACAGTGATGGAGTGAATGATGGTGAAAGTTTTTCTTTTTCGGGCCACCCTGCCTTGGTGGGAATCGGCCAGTGTGATAATAAAAATAATAATAAAAAATAACAAAAAAAAAAGTAGATCAAAGTTTTTTGCACATTTTCAAATGTAGAAAAACAAAAAGATCTACTTTTTTTACATACTCTCAAATGTTGAAAAAACGTATATATACGTTTGGACCGTTTACGGGTTAAAATATAGTACTGGTTGCACTTCCCTTACACAACTGTTGTACAAAAACAGCAGATAAGCAGTAAGGCACCGAACATAATGAACAATGGCTCACTTGAAAACCAACAAAAAACGTGGAACACAGAAGAGATGCTCTGTATGCAGAGCTCTCAGGTATGTTACTGACAATTTAAGATTTTTTCACCTTTACCTAGTGTTATACTTCTCTGTATCTACCATCTACATTAGGACATACCAGAGTTGAAAGCCTTTCCTTTCTTACAGTACCTTGTTTCCTAGCACAGTCTCCTCTAGTGGTCAAAGTGTTATTTGCCAAACCTCTTCAGTGCGGGTCATTTTCATCAATATGAAGATGTAAAGTAAAAGGACACAAGTGCAACTAATGTGACATTTATTGTGGCAACGTTTCGCTCTCCAGGAGCTTTATCAAGCCATTACAAACAATACATGGACACAGAGGGTATATAAAGGCTCTGAATGAGGTGCAATACTAGTGAGGTACCATTTCGATGTTCACTAGTGGTAGTAGTAGTAGTAGTGGTAGTGGTAGTGACAAAAGTAATACAATATGGTAGAGCAATTAATTCGTACATGAGTAAAAGGATATAAAAGCTATTACTTGGGTAACATAAAAATAGGTTGGACAAATATAAACTGGAATGAGGCAGCTTGTTTCAGTGTTCACTCTCTGTGCTTTGTGTAGTATAACAGGAGAGACTATGTGATGGCAGGGTTTACTGTTTTCAGGAGGATTCTTGCTAAGACTTCGGAGATGGTGAAGCTGCCGTTGTTTTGTTTAATTGTATTCGAAACAGCGATCAGTGCTGATTCGAGGCACTTGCGTCTGCGGAAATTAGTTTCTTTGATCACTAATTGGGCGTCTCTGAATTTCATGAGATGATTGGTGGAATTTCGGTGTTGTACACAGGCGTTGTTCAGGTTATCGTTCCTACATGCGTAAATGTGTTCATTGAGGCGGGTGTCGAGGTTTCTGGCTGTTTCACCTACGTAAATCTTGTCACAGCCTCCACAGGGTATAGTGTAAACTCCTGCATTGACTGGTTCGTGGTGCTTGGATTTTGTCCTGGTTATATCCTTTATTGAAGTGCTAAAAGCGATGGCGACTCTGGTGTTAGCTTGTGAAAGTGCCTTTGAGACGTTCAGTGCAACCTGACTATTGGGAAGAATTATGACTTTGCTGGGAGTGGTGTTGATGCGTGGAGAATTTATGATCTGAAGAGCTCTTTTCTTGCAGCTTCACCATCTCCGAAGTCTTAGCAAGAATCCTCCTGAAAACAGTAAACCCTGCCATCACATAGTCTCTCCTGTTATACTACACAAAGCACAGAGAGTGAACACTGAAACAAGCTGCCTCATTCCAGTTTATATTTGTCCAACCTATTTTTATGTTACCCAAGTAATAGCTTTTATATCCTTTTACTCATGTACGAATTAATTGCTCTACCATATTGTATTACTTTTGTCACTACTACTACTACTACTACTACTACTACTACTACTACTACTACTACTACCACTAGTGAACATCGAAATGGTACCTCACTAGTATTCACCTCACTCTGAGCCTTTATATACCCTCTGTGTCCATGTATTGTTTGTAATGGCTTGATAAAGCTCCTGGAGAGCGAAACGTTGCCACAATAAATGTCACATTAGTTGCACTTGTGTCCTTTTACTTTACATATTGTCGGTAATTCTACCAACTTTATTACAATATGAAGATGATTCACTACTAGCTATATGTACACTTAAGGTTCACCATTTATCTTTTTATTTTTCTGTTAATATTATGCCTAGCTTTCAGTTTTGAAGCACAGACTCTGATGAATGAAGCTACAGAAAGGCAGGAGAGTGATTTTTTGTATAGTTAACATTGGTGTAGCTATTATTATAAGCTTATCCTCTCTTGAATGTTAATGTAAATAACTCAGTTTACTTTATTACTATTGTATCTCCTTTAATCGTAACTGATTTTCATACAGTTGAGTTACTTAGCTGTTTTAACATGTAAGATTATAATCATGATTGATTTCTGCAGTAATTTACTGCTAGGCTTTAAATAAGTTAATGCAAAGACCCCAGTGAAAATAAGTCACTTTGACTTCTTTAGGGTTACTGTGTATGATAATTGTACTTGAGTGAACGTGTACCAAAAAAAAAAAAAAAAATTGACTTTACAATTAGTTGTCTCCAAGCTAGAAGTCAGTCACTCAGCTTCAAGCTTTTGTTGTATTTCCTGCATCACACTGCTGGGTGAACCATCTGTAAACTGCTTCATCAGGATGCTCACAGTACAGTACAATCACTCCCTGAAGCTCCAGTAGCTTGATCAGTCAGAAATGTACAATAGCAGCTGGCTTTGGGACAATGGTAAATTTTTGTCAATGCTGATACCTATACCAGCAAAATTAGCTGATACCCACTGATACTGACACCATTATTCAAGTTTATGCTGATACCGATAACCATTTCGCGAGTGACTGTGATATTACATAATTTATCTTCTTTAGGCCAACTATAAAAATTAATTACTGGGATATTGTTGACGTGCAATATTCATTGTTTGATAGGAATCAATCGACTGGAGCGTGAGATTGAAAGTCAGGTTGGTAGTCACTACGAGGATCTCCTGTCTCAGGCCACAGGAGTGGAGACTTTGGAAGATGTGCTAAATACTATGCACACCAGAATCCAGGTAAGAACTGAAGTTTTTGTACACCCTGCAGTAGATAATGTGTACCCTGTCATGAATGTACAGTACTTGTTGCACATGTTGCTATGGATGTATGAACAATTTATGCTTTTACACCTATGTTGAGGTGACCTTGTGGGTTTACAGATGAATATCAAGGCATACAAGTTTTGGCATTACTTCTTATCTGCTCTCTTACTATATGTATCTAACTGGGCTTGAGGTTGATGAAAGGCTCTTGATCCAAGGACTTGGAACTACTTTCCTTTTCCATGGATTCAATTTGATTACCTTCCATTCTCCAGAGGCTACATGACCTTCACAGATTTAGCCCTTCTACATGAATAATTTGCTATTCTGTCCCCTCTTCTCCTTTCAAGGAAGGTGACCACCCTCATGCAGGTGAAGGACTTATGATCAGAAGAACTGGAGCCTCCCTCCCTTTTCTTGGATCAAATCTCATTGTCTCCATTTCCCCTCAAAGCACTATATGATCCTTATGAGTCATAATGCCTTCCCCCCCTTTCTCTAAATGTAAAACAAAAAGAAATAAGATTTTGTTTCTTGATCACTTTCTCGCTAACCTAGTGGCTTCCTAACTGACTGATGGCCTGGTTAGTGAAACTAATGAACCTGTACTTGATGGCCACATGAGGAAGAGATGGAGGGAAAGATGATGAAGGCTGAAGAGTGTCTTCACCTGTTCCAGTTGTAAGAAAAATGCTTCAGTGTATTGTCCAGTGCTACTTATCTTAGCTAACTCATCCACTCTGCAACTCCATGAATATTAGAAAACACTAGATTTCACTAGCACAGTAAACCCTTCATCACTCATGGCCCTGTTGGAGGAGTATAATGCCTATCTCCATTTAATCAGAGGGAGACATGACGGATGGCAAATATCACCACACGTCATCCATTACAAGGTGTTGTGTGTCGCACTTGGTGATTCCTAACAACAAAATAAATCTGTTTATTTCCTCCTTGAAATATGTAAATTCATATCACCCATAACTTGAGTCCTGATGGTGGAAAATACAGTGCCAGCATTTTCAAGGAGTGAAAATTATACAGTTTGAGGGATTAATTAAATTGTGATATCCTTGTTAGTTTAATATCTTTATTATGCCCCTCATACTCATCCTGTGGGCGGTAGTCAAAAGATTACAGAGATACATAATGAGTCCAGGGACCGGGCTGCAAAGTTATGATAGCTGAACAAGTTACACTAGAAATGAACTGTTTACATATTTATATCTTGTTACAATTGTAATGAGTTATTTATATATGCATCAGGTTTGCATGATGTCTTTGCACTTTTGAAAATATAGTTACTTAATGAACGATCCTAAATATTTGTCTTTTTTGGGTCTCTGTGTTGGCGGGAGTTTACCGGTATGGTTAATTTTTTTTTTTTTTTTCAACAAGTCGGTCGTCTCCCACCAAGGCAGGGTGACCCAAAAAAGAAAGAAAATCCTCAAAAAGAAAATACTTTCATCATCATTCAACACTTTCACCTCACTCACACATAATCACTGTTTTTACAGAGGTGCTCAGAATACAACAGTTAGGAAGCATATATGTATAAAGATACACAACATATCCCTCCAAACTGCCAATATCCCAATCCAGGTCATTTAAATCAGTAAACAAGTTTCTTGTATATACTCATATACTTTAGATTTTCTCAGTTCTCCTAAGTAGTTGTTATTTGCTGCTTTCCCAGTCTTTCATTTCTTTCATTCAAGGAAAGTGGAAGAGAGCAACCATCCTCTTACTGCATGTACAACTAAATGTCACCCATCTCTGTACAAACATTATATTATGCTGAAATAAGGAGGTACAGTGGACCCCCAGTTTACGATATTATTTCATTCCAGAAGTATGTTCAGGTGCCAGTACTGAACGAATTTGTTCCCATAAGGAGTATTGTGAATTAGATTAGTCCATTTCAGACCTTCAAACATACACGTACAAACGCACTTACATAAATACACTTACATAATTGGTCACATTGGGAGCTGATCGAAAAGCGGGGGTCCACTGTACTACCATTTTAACTCGTTGATTTCCCATCTATTGTGTTTAATTAAGTGGTTTATTCTTTATCTTAGACATTGTTAGCTGGAGTAGAGCGGTTAAGAGTGAGGGTGGTGGATCCGTACCAGAGAGTAGAGAGACACACACTGGTTCTTGGCCGACTTCAAGCGACATGTGAACTTCTGAGACGTGTCATCCGTTGTCTGATGTTGTCACAGAGGTTGCAGCAACAGCTATCAAGTGAACCCAGGGATATTACCAAGGCTGCAATTAGCCTCAGTGAACTAGGTTGGAATGTATTAAGTTCTTTTAATAATTAATAGTTTTTCTTGCAAATTATTAAACTAAATTCATCATCCATTAACTAGATTAATATTTACTTGGCAAGTTGCTGCATATTATATGGTATTTATTTTGTCAAAATCAACCATAAAAAAGTATTAATTAATCATCTAGTAAAATCATTCTAATTTTCCATATTCCTAATGTTTATATGTATTAGGCTTTTCTTCTTTTGTCAGTTATATATATTAGTTCCATTACTTGGGGCCATTTTTTTGTTTTGGGTGGGGGGAGTAAAGAAATATCAACTTTGAGAATTTACTGTATTGATTGAGGGGTGTCAGAAGTATCTGTCAGTTACTGCCAATCTCACCTATTGTTAATGACAGTGATATTCCAGGCTTGTAAGACAGGGCAATGACAAGATCATCTCCAGAACCTACAACCACTAACAGGGTTCAGTGTGGCTGTTAAGATTGTTAGAAACTGACTGCTTTTATGTTTTTTAGATTCTAGTGATGTTTCAACTTAAATTTGTTTGTTATTGTTAGATTGGTTTTTCCATTACATTTTCTTCTTCTTCTTTCAACAAACCGGCCGTATCCCACTGAGGCGGGGTGGCCCAAAAGGAAAAACAAAAGTTTCTCCATTTACATTTAGTAATATATACAGAAGAGGTTACTAGCCCCTTTCTCCCGACATTTTAGTCGCCTCTTACGACACGCATGGCTTACGGAGGAAGAATTCTGTTCCACTTCCCCATGGAGGTAAGAGGAAATAAACAAGAACAAGAACTAGAAAGAAAATAGAAGAAAACCCAGAGGGGTGTGTATATATATGCTTGTACATGTATGTGTAGTGTGACCTAAGTGTAAGTAGAAGTAGCAAGATGTACCTGAAATCTTGCATGTGTATGAGACAGAATAAAAAGATGCCAGCAATCCTACCATCGTGTAAAACAATTACAAGCTTCCATTACATTTATAGACATATTTATGGGTAAGAGTGGATAGGTGTGAGTAGGAACTGCCTAAAGTGTTCAGTAGCCCTTCTGCAGTTCTCCTTTCTTATGTTGCAGATCACTTGGGTCGAGATGTGGATCTGACAGGACTGGAAGTGCTAGAGCGGGATCAGAGGCTGGTGCGACAAGCACGCTCAGATGTTGAAAAACAAGCAGTTGTCATGATGGACCGGGGTATGGAGCTTCAAAATCAGACACAGGTCAGCTACTTCTGGCTTCTGGTTCCTTCAAGAATGGGGAGGGATTTCTATGCTGCTAGTAAAGGGATTTTGATCCAAAGACTTAGAACTATCCTCCCCTTGGATCAAGCCTGATTGCTTCCCATTTCCCAGGTGCTACATAGCCCTTTAAGGTTGAGCATTGTCCATAAACATGTTCAGTTACTTAACCCTTAAACGGTCCAAACGTATATATACGTTCACGCGCGTAGCACCCCAAACGTATATATACGTTTTCTTTGTCATTCATTCAATATTGCCACAATAAGCCTGAGTCACCTAGACATGAGAGAATGGGTGTGTGCACTCACTGTGTTCCATATTAAAATAATTGGGGATGCCTAGGTACCATATGCTCTTTTTTCCTTTTAAAAGAAAAGATTTTTTTTTCCTCAAAAAATTTGGGGCGCTGCGCGAGTGAACATATATATACGTTTGGACTGTTTAAGGGTTAAAGTAACTTTTTTTTAGTAATATCTCAGGTTTGTTTGTGTAGATTTACAGTTACTTAAAGTAACTTTTTTAGTAATATCTCAGGTTTGTTTGTGTACATTTATAGTCTAAGAATTACTGTCCTGTTTCAGGTTTCTAAGAGCTGGTATCCTACCTAAGATCATTTACAGTAAAGAATTGTTTTCTTAACTCATGTTATTTAAAAGCTTCAAGCTGTTATCCTATCTCAGCTCATTTACAGACTAAGAGGTATTATCCTACCTCAGCTCCTTTACAGGCTAAGTGCTGTTATCCTGCCTCAGCTCATTCACAAGCTAAATCCTGGTATCCTGTTTCAGCTCATTTCAAAGCCCAGCCCTATCTAAAGTATACTATTGCCTCCAGGATTCTTCTGCATGCAGATACAGTACAGTATTAAATAAATGTTCCACATGGGACATACATCACTAGGCATGACTACATACAGTTGGGATTCAACTAGTGTGGGTAAATTTAATTAATGGGTCAATGATTGTGTAGCCTTACTTTTTTTTTCTGGGGGAAATATGGCTCCTGAACATTTGGTTGATGGACACTTTGCTGATGGACATTTCACCAAAGGACATTTTACCGAACAGACACTTCACTGACAAACATTTCACTGAATGGACATGTGGCTGAACTGGCATTCATCACCTTAAGTTAGCCTAGCCTAGCCTAACCTAACCCACTCCAACCTAGCCCAAACCAAACCAAACCAAACCAAACCAACCCAACCCAACCCAACCCAACCCAACCCAACCCAACCCAACCCAACCCAACCCAACCCAACCCAGCCCAGCCCAGCCCAGCCCAGCCCAGCCCAGCCCAGCCCAGCCCAGCCCAGCCCAGCCCAGCCCAGCCCAGCCCAACCCAACCCAACCCAACCCAACCCAACTCAACTCAACTCAACCCATTCTAACCTAAAGTAACCTAATTATCCATTTGGTGTATTGTCCATTCGGCCAAAGTGTTGTCGGTGCAATGTCCGTTCGGCCAATTGTCCTATGGCCAAATAAATGTCTGGCCAAGTGTCCGTTGGTCATCTGTTCAGTCATGGGAAATACATCACTGTTACTCCTGTTTAAAGAACAGTACACTGTCTAGCAAGAATTTTGTTTTACCATTTTTTTTAACACAGCCACCTCCCACTGAGGCAGGGTGACCTGTAAAAGAAGAAACAAAAGTTTTTCTTCTTTTTATATTTAGTAATTTTAATCACCTCTTACAACACCATGGCTTATGGAGAAAGGATTCTTCTCCACTTCCCCATGGAGTGTAATAATAATAATAATAATAATAATATCTGGAATATCCTGGAAATGGGAAGTACAATACCTGCACTTTAAAGGAGGGGTTTGGGATATTGGCAGTTTGGAGGGATATGTTGTGTATCTTTATACGTATATGCTTCTAAACTGTTGTATTCTGAGCACCTCTGCAAAAACAGTGATAATGTGTGAGTGTGGTGAAAGTGTTGGATGATGATGAAAGTATTTTCTTTTTGGGGATTTTCTTTCTTTTTTGGGTCACCCTGCCTCAGTGGGAGACGACCGACTTGTTGAAAAAAAAAAAAATCTGAAATATTATATATGGTAACACTCTTTGTGAAAGCTGTGTGTCAGTATCTTTTTAAAACTTTGTCATTCTATTTTGCATTTAATATTTTTCCTTCAGGTTGGAACTGCTCTACAAGTCTTCCATAATTTAGGGATCCTGGTACCAAGTGTAGAAAAAGTGTTGGATACCCTGATTACTAGACTTAACAAGAGTGTTTCACAAACCTTAGATGTGAATTCTCTCCTGCAGGTTTGCCAGGATACTAGAAAAAGTAAGTTTTCCAATGAAAAGCAAACATGTTGCTGAACACGCTTTTTTATGAGACAGTGTTTTGTTCTGTAGAACTTGAACAACCTTTAACTTAATTTAATTTTTTTTTTTCAACAAATGGGCCATATCCCACTGGGGCAGGGTCACCTAAAAAAGTAAAATGAAAGTTTCTCTTTTTAAATTTAGTAACATATACAGGAGAAGGAGTTACTAGCCTCTTGCTACCAGCATTTTAGTCGCCTCTTATGACATGCATGGCTGCGGAGGAAGAATTCTGTTTCACTTCCCCATGGAGTAATTGAAATGTTGTCCCATTAAAATATAGTTTTGCAACATACCTCTTTTCTTCATTATTTTCTGCAGTATGGTATTTAAATTCAAATATTTTGTGTACAGTAGGTCCCTGATTTACAGTAATCTGCACTTACAGTATGAACACATGCCCTTCTGAACACCAGGACTATTTGTGGCTGTGGAAATATTGTATCACTTTCACTGAAAATTTTGTGCCTTATGTAGAATAGCATTATGATGAGTGAAGAAGATATGGATGCAATACAGTTACATTCCAGACACCTCCAGATTACCCCATTAGCTTTTTTTTAATGTTGTACTGTATTACTTTTACAGGCAAACTTCTTTTGTTGGAGGGAGAGAGTCAAGGAGGTTTTGTGTGTGAGGGGCTTGGACTTCCAGCAAGCATGCATGAGCATGTTAGATAAGAGCGAGTGGAGACAAATGGTTTTTATGACTGGACATGCTGTTCAGGTGTGAACAAAGCAACATTTATGAAGGGATTCAGGAAAACCAGTTAGCCGAACTTGAGTCCTGGAGGTGGGATGTACAGTGCCGGCACTCTGAAGGAGGAATGGATATATGTTTCAGTTTTTGAGCAGTGTTGGCACGTCTCTGGCAAGACAGTGATGGAGTGAATGATGATAATGATGAAAGTCTTCTTTTTTGGGTCACCCTGCCTTTGTGGGAAATGGCCAGTGTGTTAATAAAAGAAAAAGAAAATAAGTTCTTTTGTTCAAAATGTTCATGAATAAAAGCTTTCTAAATAGTTAGTCTTTCTTGGTTAATCAGAATCAGGCCTAATTAAAATCTTTGTAGGCCCTGGGCACTCAAATCTAGTGATAAATATTTACATGTATACTTTATAAAGGCTCCATCAGGACTGAGCTGAAATACTTGTGGGGCCTGTAATATAATCACACTATGATACTTTTATATTATGATTATGATACTGTACTTTGTAATACTCTTCCTTTCCCCTAGGATATCATGAATTATTGGAACATGCTTGTTATGTATTTTGATATGACATTACTTTATGAGGTTTTGATATGCAGGTGGTCCTGGGAAAGCTATCATGCCTGGGCCAGGGCAGTCAGTACAGTTCCGAGCCTCTCTCTGGTCTAACCTCGAGAAACTGATGGACGATATTTACCATGCTTGTGTGCAAACCTCACATCTTCACAAGGTAAGGAGATGTACATGGCATACACTCAACTACTGTAGTAATGTATATTTAATGTACCAGTCAGTGTCATTTCAGGTAGTAGGAGATTGGTAGATGGCCTTCATCCTGGGAGACACTGTTACCCTCTCATTAGTGTTATTTTGAACAGAAAACAGATATACACTGGTGTACATGAACATTCACAGTACATCATGTTTTCAGCCCAGTGATGAACAAAACGGCACAGTGCCATGACTGGAACAATGCATAAATAACTCTCATAGGAGAGAGAAGCTTATGATGATGTTCCGGTCTGACTTAGGCATTTACTTGTAAATAGTCCAAGTCAGATCGAAATTTCATCAAGGTGGACACAACTGAATGATTAACATTTGACAGGATTACAGATATTGAGAGTAAGTATACATATATTGATTATAATGTTTTACCTATGTTTGTTATATTGAGCAAATGCATATGTATTTATGATAGGCTGGGATAGGTTAAGGAGATAAGGTGTTTTCTAACTGTAGTTTTAAAAATGCTAGCTGATCCAGTGGTCAAGAAAGCACTTCAGGTCGGGTTTTATATTAGAATTGATTGTTCTGTAAATGTAGGTTGCACAGTAGTATGAGTGAATGTATTGTATAGTGAATAGGTTTAGGTCTTTGAAAAGTGGGGGGATTGTTGTCTAGTAGTGGATTGTGTGATCATTTGCACTGCAGCTTTTTGTTGGGTTATTGTTGTTCCTACGTGATTTGTCATTGTGAAACCTCAGGCACAAATAGCATAGGTGAGATAGGGGTAGATCATAAGCTTCTCTCTCTTACTTGCAGGTTATTTGTGTAATGTTTCATTCCAGTGTCACAGTCATACATTTGAAGTTCTTAGCAAGAAGTTGATTAGGAGGATGGGCTGATAGTATGGACTATCCTGCATGCAGTCCTCTCAAGGTGTCCAAACCATCATAAAGCATTTATTTTGACCTATTCTACAAGTGTATATTTTACACTTATGGCCTTCTCCACTCCACATCTTTCTTACAATTTTACTTATTCCTCTCACATATTTGTATCAAATTTACATTGTCTCTCATTTCAAGTTTCTGTGCCATATTCAGGGTGGAAAGAAATCTAGTTATATAATGCAATCCCTCTGACTCAGTAACACATTTCTCTCTCATACTTAGTATAGTATCCCCACCTAGGGATGATATTTTATGCTTCTTACCAATATAGTGGTACCTCGGGATACGAAATTAATTCGTTCCACAAGGATGTTCGAGTGCCAATACCGAATGAATTTGTTCCCTCATAAGGAGGGATATGTTGTGCATCTTTATACGTATATGCTTCTAAGCTGTTGTGTTCTGAGCACCTCTGCAAAAACAGTGATTATGTGTGAGTGAGGTGAAAGAGTTGAATGATGATGAAAGTATTTTCTTTTTGGGGATTTTCTTTCTTTTTGGGTCACCCTGCCTTGGTGGGAGACGGCCGACTTGTTAAAAAAAAAAAAAAAGGAATATGTAATGTATTCTAGATTAATCCGTTTCAGACCCCCAAAAATACTCTTACAAAAGCACTTACATAAATACACTTATATAATTGTTCGAGTTTTGAGTTGTTCGTATCCTGAGGCACCACTGTATTCTCTCTACTGCAACTTGCTGGCCTGTATGTTGTAGATGTTACATACACAGACAGCTATTTTATTATTTACAAGTTATTTTTGTACTGCCTAGGTGGGAAACAGCCGACGTGTTAAAAAAAAAATTTAAATTTAGGGTCAAATATATTTTTGGAATAATACTGGAATACTTTCTGAATGCTCCCCTCATAATGTGTTCATTTCTTAAAACTGGCCCTGAGTACTCACCTATATGTGGTACAGGAGTGAAGTCTCAGCTCCTGTTCTTGTCTCTTCACTGGCCACTGCTGGGTTCATTTCTAGCTTTGAGAGCTGTGCAATAAAGATAGCTGTACAATAAAGTGGGCAGTTGCTGATTATGTTTTAAAAGAATTAATTATAGTAAATTTCATTTATTTTGTAAGGTTCTAGCAAAGAAGAGAGACCCTGTGAGCCACGTGTGTTTTTTAGAGGAAGTACAGCGCCATAGTAGAAGTGATCTCTTTACAAGAGTATGGCTTAATATTACCCGGATCTTAACAGAAGAGTTCGCTAAAGCTGCTCAAGGTAACTAACATCTTTGCAAACATTTTATAATTTGTTAATACAACAATACCTTGCATAGTACCGTTTTGAATAATACAGGTTTTGATATACATGTCTCCCTCCACATTCATGAGGGTTAGAGGATCAAGACCCACGCGAATGTTGAAAAAATGTGAATGTTTGGTGCACAAATATATTGTAGGGAAATATAATGTAATAGCATTTACCTAGCCTAACAATACTGCTTCCTTAACCTATTGAACCATGAACAATCATAAAACACATGAAAACATCGTAAAATATTGTACTAGTGCCAGCCCTTTGGTAAAGAAGGTGAGAAAGGCTATAGAATTCAAGAAAGAACTCGTAGCAGAGTACCAAAGTGGAGGAGGAAGAGAGAGGGGAGAATGTGCCTTTTTTAGTGATTCATCGATATGTATGATACTAAAGCAGCACGAGTTGATAAAGGCTATAGCGCCAGCCAGTGATAAAGTGTAGCATTAACAGTACAGCAAGTAAGTTAAGCGATTAATCGATAGAAAAAGGACAGCGCAAACCTAACTCCTCCAATGTTGTTGGAGTTATATAGGGTGACTGACAACATTGCCGTCTCTGCCACCTCTGCTGCCGCCTCCACCACCATGTACAGCATATGCTCTCAGTGGCCCTTATACACCCAACAGCAACAATACAGCAACACTTGTGACATACTTAAGGATGTATTTTATTCATTCTAGAGTACATATATGTCATGTGTCTGTGTTATTAATACAGTGGACCCCCGGTTAACGATATTTTTTCACTCCAGAAGTATGTTCAGGTGCCAGTACTGACCGAATTTGTTCCCATAAGGAATATTGTGAAGTAGATTAGTCCATTTCAGACCCCCAAACATACACGTACAAACGCACTTACATAAATACACTTACATAATTGGTCGCATTCGGAGGTGATCGTTATGCGGGGGTCCACTGTACAGTGGTCCCTCAATAATCGTCCATAATCCGTTCCTGGAAGTGGGACTATTATCGAAATGGACGATTTACGAATCAATTTTCCCCATAAGAAATAATGTAAATTCAATTAATCCGTTCCTGACACCCAGAAGTATTAAAACAAAAAAATTTTTTACATGAAATATAGATGTAGTACATAAACAATACAGTGGCACATGATGAATTAAGCATTAACAGAATAACACTTACCTTTATTGGCGATTCTTCTTTGTGTATGGAAGACTGGAGAAGGAGACTGATTGGATGAATTACTGTTTGGAAGGGGAATCCCCTTCCATCAACACCTTGGGTACCAATTGCTTTTCTGGGGTTACTTCTCTTCTCTGTTTCTTAATGCCACTAGGACCACCTTGAGAGTCACTGGAGTCCTGTCTCACAAAAAAACTGTCCAGAGAGCTCTGTTTCTGGCGTCTCTTTAAAACTTCCCTAAAATGGGCCAAGACTCTGTCACTGTACAAGTTGCCGATATGGCTTGCAACATCCTTCTCTGGGTGATGTTTCTCCATAAATCTTTCCATCCTACCCCACATTTCAAAAATCTCCTTAATTTCTGAAGAAGGCACCTTCCTCCATCTCTCTTCCTCCTCCTCTGCAGCAAGATTCAGAGCTGCCATCTGTTGCTGTTCCTGCTGAAGCTCTTGCAGCTCCTCAGTGGTTAGCTCTTTGTTGTGGTCCTCCACCAACTCTTCCACATCCTCCAAACTCACATCCAACCCCATGGAAGCCCCCAGTGCCACAATGGATTTAACAACTGACATAGGCTCATCAGGGCAGCCCCAAACCCTTCAAAATCCCTCTTGTGGACACAATCTGGCCACAATTTTCTCCAAGCAGAGTTCAAAGTCCTGGTAGTCACTCCCTCCCAAGCCTTACCTATAAGGCTTACACAATGGAGAATACTGAAATGTTCTTTCCAAAAATCTCGTAGGGTCAAGTGAGTGTCTGAGGTCACATTCAAGCACCTTTCAAACATTGCTTTGGTGTAGAGTTTTTTAAAGTTTGCAATGACCTGCTGGTCCATGGGTTGGAGGAGAGGAGTGGTATTCGGGGGCAAGAACTTTACTGTGATGAACCCAAACTCCTTCATCAGAATTAGGTCATCCAAGTTTGGAGGATGAGCAGGTGCATTGTCCATTACTAGGAGGCACTTGAGATCCAATTTCTTTTCCAGGAGGTAATTCTTCACACTAGGGCCAAACACTTCGTTGAACCACTCTACAAAAATTTCCCTCGTGACCCATGCCTTACTATTAGATTTCCAAAACACACACAATTTACTCTTCATAACATTGTTTTTCTTGAACACTCTGGGATTTTCAGAATGGTACACTAGTAACGGCTTCACTTTGAAATCCCCACTAGCATTAGCACAGAACATTAGCGTCAGCCTGTCTGTCATAGGCTTGTGCCCAGGCATTGCCTTTTCCTCTTGTGTAATGAAGGTCCTCTTTGGCATTTTCTTCCAAAAGAGGCCTGTTTTGTCACAATTGAACACTTGTTCAGTTTTCAGTCCTTCACTGTTTATGTACTCCTGGAATTCATGCACATATTTTTCAGCCGCCTTGTGGTCCGATCTGGCAGCCTCACCATGCCTTACCACACTGTGTATGCCAGTACGCTTCTTAAATCTCTCAAACCAGCCTTTGCTAGCCTTAAATTCACTCACATCATCACTAGTTGCAGGCAATTTCTTTACCAAATCGTCATGCAACTGCCTAGCCTTTTCACAAATAAGCGACGTCATAAGACTGTCTCCTGCTAATTGTTTCTCATTTATCCACACCAATAATAACTTCTCAACATCTTCGAGTACTGGTGATCTCATTTTTGTCAGCATATTTGCCCCCTTTGCAGCAACAGCGTCCTTGATTTCCTTTTTCTTGGCTATGATGGAAGATATGGTTGTACGGGATTTGTTATACATCCTGGCCAGTTCGCCCACACGTACACCACTATCATATTGTTCAATGATGTTTTTCTTAAATTCAGTCATATTTCTCACCTTCTTTACCAAAGGCTTGGCACTAGGAGCTTTCTTTGGAGCCATGGTAGCTTATTTAGCACTTAAATAACTTGCAAGCACTAAAATAAATGAAATATTATGAAATATTTCACTGGAGCACGTGAGGGGACTGTCTTTCACTGGTAAACAATGGCACACTGGCTGGGAAGGAAAGGCCGAGGCGGCTCGAGGCCGCTCAGACCGTGCGTACGCATCCGGGACGAAGGACTATTAGCGAGTTACAGGACCATTTCCGAGCCAATATTTTGACGAAAAAACAGGACTATTTCCAAAATGGACGACTTTCAGGCTGGACGATTATTGAGGGACCACTGTATTGTTTATTATGTCATATTAGATGAATTGTGTTAGATAAATAAGCCTTAGAGTTGATATTAGTGTCGTATTGAAGGACTATCTTGTCCTATCTCCAAACAACTCTGCCACCACCACAATTCCAAACATATGTAATAACATATTTTAAATATGATTGGGCGGCTGGGAATTCGCGAATGTTCAAAGCCCATGAAAGTGGAACTCGCGAATGTGGAGGGAGACCTGCACTGTTTATAAATTTAATATAAATTTTAACTGAATTATGCACTGATATTGGAATGTTGCTATGACTAGTGCAATACGAACATCAGTATCATCACAGACTCTGAGCAATGAAGTTGTGTAGTCTTGTACAGTACATATGTATACACATATTTTTTCTTTATTATATAAAGTACTGGTACTTCTTTTATATGCAGATATTTTGTGAAGGGATTCAGGGAAACCTGTTAGCCGGACTTGAGTCCTGGAAATGGGAAGTACAATGCCTGCACTTGAACCCTTTGACTGTCAAGACTCCAAATCCTGAAGTGTCTCTCTGTGTCACAAAATATAAAAAAAAAAAATTTTTTTTTTTCTTAGGAAATGATAGAAAATCTTTTCCCGATGGTAATGATACCAAAAGTACGAAATTTGATGGAAAACTTAGGAAATTATGCTCTCACGAAATTAGTGATCTTGGCAATATATACGCATTGGCGATTTTTCCCACTTTGAGCCCTATTTTCAGCCAATTCCATTGTTCCAGTCGACCAAATTCATAGCTATTTCTTTAGAACTCCATTTGTTCTATCGACTGCGTACAAGAAACTGCCTATTTACCGATTTCAACTACCAAATAAGTGGTCAGAAATTGACAATTTGGCCAATTTCACGCAAATTAAAAAAGATGCCAATTTCAAAATAGGGTCCAGAATAAACAATGCAGACATTCCTAGCACTAAAATAAAATTTTTCTGTTCATTAGTCATGTCTCCAGGCCCCTCTTATATTACTCTTGCTTTCTATTTTGAATTTTTATTCACACAAAAAAATAGAAGATTTACTGTTATGCAGACTACTGCATTATTGTAATAATTGTATAAATAATGTCAACTCATTCATGACTGCATATTAGACTGGCCAGTTGGATACGTATTGGATGGTGACGTCATTTGTTTACTCTTGAATATTGGCAAAAATCGAACATTTCCACTATTTTGAGCTCAATTTCAAGGTCCTTTTCCTCATGAAGCCAATCAAAATCATCTCTATTTCTGTAATATATCTTCCATTCTAGCAAATGAGACCAAGGAAACGAGAATACAGCCATAAATACTACACGAAAATACATCTCAAAGCCGGTGTTTTATTCCAAAAACACGGTTGGAGTTTTTTTTTTCTCATTATGCACTACGTGCTGCAGGACTTTTTTTTTTATACTGCACACACTGACCACACAGACCCATTCTCTCACATGTGGGCCTACCAGCTTTCTCCCGCTGCTAGAATTTTGGCGTATTAATACGTCAAAAACGTTGGCTCGTAAGATATATATATATATATATATATATGACACCGACAGTGAAAGGGTTAATTAAAGGAAGGGTTTGGGATATTGGCAGTTTGGAGGGACATCTAAACTGTCGTATTTGAGTGCCTCTGTAAAGACAGTGATTATGTATGAATGATGGTGGAAGTGTTGAATGATGACGAAAGATTTTTCTTTCTTTTTGGGTCATCCTGCCTTGGTGGGAAATGGCCGTGTTAAAAAAATAAAAGAAAATGAGTGGAAAGAGGAAATGCAATGACGCTGAACGTTCTAGTAAACATAAATGGTTAACATGAGATGAAAAACTAGAAATTATAAAACATCATGAAGATGGTGCATTGTGTGCTGAAATAACAGGTGACAAGAAAATGAACGTAGCATCGGTATGCGTGGATTGTTCCTATGATTTTGCCAATTTTTGTATCTCACGTTGAAACTGTTTGTGAAAACGTTGTGCAGTTTGGGAAATATCATCCCAGATTAGAAGCATTGGATTGTGAAAATGTGCATAAATACATTTACTCACTACTGTTCAGTTTTTTTTTTTTTTTTTTTTTTTTTTTATAGCGCTGTATAGTCCTTGTGGCTTAGCGCTTCTTTTTTTTTGATTATAATAATAATAATCAGTTTTTTTATCATTTTTTTTTTTTTGGTTATGAGCTGGGTATGAGCATTAATTCATAATTTAATATTTATGAATAGATCTGGGAATTTACCCCTGTCCTTTTTTTCTCTCCTTCAGATTTACTAATTTTGAAAATTGTGGACACAGTTGATTTTCAAAAATTATTTAGAATGTTATCTCTGTATTTAGGGTGAGCTTATTTGTTACAGTAGGTATAGCTCTTTTGTTTTTTAGTTCATTAATTATAGTATTTAAAGTTAGTGGGGTCAGAGCATGGTGAAGTCATGTCATTAGTGAAGAATATTGGCCTAATGTGCTGTGTGACATTCAGTAAATCTTTGATATTTCCTATTTTATATTTTTGTCAGGATGAAAAAGTCACAATATTGTGACTGGAACAATATACAAATAATCTGCACGTAGGAGAAAGAAATTTATGACAATGTTTTGGTCCAACCTGGACCATTAACTAGGTAGTGTGACTGACTTCATACAACAAATGTTAGGGCAACTGAAAAGTGTGACATTACTTGTGATTACAGTCTCTCCTCGCTTAACAACGGAGTTCTGCTCCTAAGACCACTTTGGTAAACGAATTCGTTGCTAAGTGAGGAGCATTCTATAATGGTTGTGGGTTCGTGTCAACCATCTTTGATATTGTTTTAATGTCACTTTTGCACCATTTATAACATTTCTGGTATATTTTTAAATGTTTATACAGTAATAAAAAGAATAGACGAAATCAACTCTTAACCCTTTGACTGTCGCGGCCGTATATATACGTTTGCGAGGTACCGTGTTTGACGTATATATACTCATAAATTCTAGCGGCTTCAAATCAGGCAGGAGAAAGCTAGTAGGCCCACATGTGAGAGAATGGGTCTGTGTGGTCAGTGTGCACCACATAAAAAAAATCCTGGAGCACGCAGTGCATAATGAGAAAAAAAAAACTCCGACCGTTTTTTTTAATTAAAATGCCGACTTTGTGGTCTATTTTCGTATAGTATTTGTGGTTGTATTCTCGTTTTCTTGGTCTCATTTGATAGAATGGAAACTATATTATAGAAATGGAGGTGATTTTGATTAATTTTACTATAAAAAGAACCTGGAAATGGAGCACAAAGTACAGGAAATGTTTGATTTTTGCCGATGTTCAAAAGTATACAAATGATGTCATTGTCCAATAAATGTCCAAATAGCCATTCTAATACGCAGTCATGAATGGGTTGATGTAATTTTTACAATTATTACAGTATTGCAGTAGTCTGCATAACAGTAAATCTTCTATTTTTTGTTTGAATAAAATTTCAAAATAAAAAGCAAGAGTAATATCACAGGGACCTGGAGACATGACTGATGAACAAAGAAAATGTTATTTTAGAGCCAGGAATGTCTGCATTGTTCATTCTGGACCTTATTTTGAAATTGTCGTATTTTTTAATTTTCGTGAAATTGGCCAAATTGCAAATTTCTGACCATGTTATTGGGTAGTTGAAATCGGTAAATGGGCAGTTTCTTGTACTCAATCGATAGAAAAAATAGAGTTCTGAAGAAATAGTTATGAGTTTGGTTGACTGGAATAACGGAATTAGCCGAAAATAGGGCTCAAAGTGGGCGAAATTGCCGATTTTTAAATATCGCCGAAGTCGCTAACTTCGCGAGAGCGTAATTCCGTCAGTTTTCCATCAAATTTCGTTTTTTTGGTGTCTTTACAATCGGGAAAAGATTCTCTATCATTTCATAAGAAAAAATAATTTTTTTTTTTTTCGAAAATTTTGCGACACCAGAAGCAACTTCAGGATTTGGCCCTTCGACAGTCAAAGGGTTAATATACATTATTTAGGTATGCATACTGGTTTGAGAGCTCATTGTAAGTCTGAGTCATCAGTAAGCAAGTACATGTATGTCGCTAAGTGAGGAGAGGCTGTACTGTAATGTAATTAGTGATTATTATACTGCATTACTGTTAAAGACTATTTTTCCCTACCAGAGTCGACCTTCATTCGTCAGTATTTAGAAGTTGACTACCCCAAGCTGATCCGCCTGTATGGTGATCTCTGGCGGAGGTTGAAGGGCATTAGTATGGAGATGAGAAATGTTAACACAGACATCACATCATGTGTTGTAGATGGGAATATTGAAGATAAAGATGAAGCTGATAATATTGGTAGAAATACCCAAGAATTTGAGTAAGTGATATGTGTATTTGTGTATTTATACATGTATCTATTTATACATATTTGTGTGTACAGATCCTCCCTGGCTTCTGACCTATGTGACTTACGTCCATCTACACATGCGAATGAAAAGAACTATAAATTAGAAAAATAAAAAATATATGTATATAAATATAGAAATTTTCCTTGGTCATCAGTTTGTGAGTAATGAAACTTAAGGTAAAAAAGCAGGTGATTAAAAAAAAAAAAGATAATCATAACAGAAATTTATTAAGTTAAAAGAATGTTGTACAGGTATATGACTTCTACATGTCATGCTAACATAATTCCCACATCTGTCCATTTTGAGAACTGACAAGTCGGTTGGAACGGAACTTGAGCATAAGTTGGGGAGGATCTGTATTTGCTATATGTATTTTTTTTTATATATTTACCTATATTTATATATAGTTATGTGTATTTATCCAAATATTTGTTTGCCATTGATAATACAAACAATTTAAACCTGTTAAGTTACCAGGTCAGTCATTAAATAATGATATATCACAGACATGTAGCCAATTTTTTGAAGTCTAGCAGTATGGCAAGAGGCACTGTCTTGCATACGAAAGTTGCCATAAACCGTTTTGAAATTGTCAGCAAATAATCTGCTAAAATTGCATTTATGTGCATGCATGTTTGTGGCACCTACTGTGGAGGTATATAGCTCAATGAATAAGTTCAGAATTTAGAATTTAAAAGTGAGATGAAGGCTTGAATTATGTTGGACGTCCTGTTTGTGTCCCGTAGCTGGTTCACACTGAGATCTGTGGTTCAATCCCTGGTACGGGTGGAAATATTCGCCATATTTCCTCATGACGCCTGGTGTCCATGTTCATTTAGCAGTCAGGTAGGTACCTGGGTTAGTTAGCTAACTGGTGTGGGTTGCAGCCTGGTAACAAAATTAACCTAAGTTGCCCGTTATGCTCTGCGTAACCGGAAGATTTCTATATAGTATGTCTTTGATGTCAGCTAGGTCTGTATAAGTTATATCATGTTCTTGTAGAAATGAAGATTATTATTATTGCATTGTAAATATATTGGAAAGGAAGTGCGGGTAGTAGGGCATTATGATATTCAGTTGTAAAAGAAGTGGATTGATGGTCTTTTGGCTAAATATCAATACCAGCACAAACTTATACTTATTTTATTTCTTCCAGTCCAGAACAAACTTTGAGAGGTAGTCTTGTACCCCTAGAGGAAGCCTATTTATCACGCTCTCGCTCGAGACTCTTAGATCCAGTAAATCTTATGTTTGCTGCTCAGGATGCACCACCTGCTAAAGAAGAAGTTGATGCTCTTATAAAAACAATTACAAGGTATGGATATTATTGTATTTTTTTTTTTTCAACAAGTCGGTCGTCTCCCACTGAGGCAGGGTGACCCAAAAAAGAAAGAAAATCCCCAAAAAGAAAATACTTTCATCATCATTCAACACTTTCACCACACTCGCACATTATCACTGTTTTTGCAGAGGTGCTGAGAATACAACAGTCTAGAAGCATACACATATAAAGATACACAACATATCCCTCCAAACTGCCAATATCCCAAACCCCTCCTTTAAAGTGCAGGCATTGTACTTCCCATTTCCAGGACTCAAGTCCGACTATATGAAAATAACCGGTTTCCCTGAATCCCTTCACTAAATATTACCCTGCTCACACTCCAACAGATCGTCAGGTCCCAAGTACCATTCGTCTCCATTCACTCCTATCTAACACGCTCACGCACGCTTGCTGGAAGTCCAAGCCCCTTACCCACAAAACCTCCTTTACCCCCTCTCTCCAACCCTTTCGAGGACGACCCCTACCCCGCCTTCCTTCCCCTATAGATTTATATGCTTTCCATGTCATTCTACTTTGATCCATGACCAAACCACCTCAACAACCCCTCTTCTGCCCTCTGACTAATGCTTTTATTAACTCCACACCTTTTCCTAATTTCCACACTCCGAATTTTCTGCATAATATTTACGCCACACATTGCCCTTAGACAGGACATCTCCACTGCCTCCAACCGTCTCCTCGCTGTTGCATTTATCACCCAAGCTTCACATCCATGTAAGAGTTTTGGTACTACAGTGGACTCCCGCATAGTGACTTTAATCCGTGCAAGAGGGCTCATTGTTATGCGAAATGATCGGTATGCGAATGAATTTTCCCCATAAGAAATAATGAAAATCAAATTAATCTGTGCAAGACACCCAAAAGTATGAAAAAAATTTTTTACCACATGAAATATACATTTTCCTACACACGAAGAGAAGGATACATGCACAATAGTAGAGTAGTACATGCACAGTATATATTGTGCATGTACTAGTCTACTAAATGAAGAATAAATGACACTTACCTTTATTGAAGATGCAGCAATGACTGATGAGACACTGTGTCCTGGGAGTGCCTTTTCCTCCTGAGTACTGTAGGTCCTGTTTGGCATTTTCTTCCAGAACAGGCCTTATCACACTGTGTATGCCACTACGATTCTTAAATCTCTCAAACCAACCTTTGCTGGCTTTAAATTCACCAATATGAGCACTAGTTCCAGGCATTTTTCCCTGTTCACCTGGGTGTTAGTCGACTGGTGTGGGTTGCATCCTGGGAGACAAGATTAAGGACCCCAATGGAAATAAGTTAGACAGTCTTCGATGACACTGACTTTTTTGGGTTATCCTGGGTGGCAAATCCTCTGGGGTTAATTGTTTCTTGGTATTCTCAATAAGCCACACCAACAACGGTGCTACAGCAGCAGCAGCAGCAGCTGACAGTGCTACAGCAGCAGCAGCAGCTGACAGTGCTACAGCAGCAGCAGATGATGCTACAGCAGCAGCAGACAATGCTACAGCAGCAGCAGCAGCTGACAGTGCTACAGCAGCAGCAGACGATGCTACAGCAGCAGCAGACGATGCTACAGCAGCAGCAGACGGTACTACAGCAGCAGCAGACGGTACTACAGCAGCAGCAGCAGCAGCAGCAGCAGCAGCAGCTGATGGTGGTACAACAGCAGCAGCAGCTGACAGTGCTACAGCAGCAACAGACGATGCTACAGCAGCAGCAGACGGTACTACAGCAGCAGCAGACGGTACTACAGCAGCAGCAGCAGCAGCAGCAGACGGTACTACAGCAGCAGCAGCAGCAGCAGCAGCAGCAGCTGATGGTGGTACAACAGCAGCAGCAGCTGTACCAATAGTAGCGATGGTTGATTGGGGTTTATTATACAACCTGGCCAGCTTGGAGACACGCACTCCACTTTCATACTCATCAATGATCTTTTTCTTCATCTCTATAGTAATTCTCACCCTTATTGCTGTAGGGTTGGCACTAGAAGCTTTCTTGGGGCCCATGGTCACTTATTTTGCAGATAAAATCACCAAAAACACTGTAATAATACGAAATGTTCCGATTGTATGCTTGGATGTTACTGCAGAGGCTGGCTGGTAAACAATGCCACCGGCAGCACATGTGAGGCTGGCTAAGGGCGCACATTGGACGCGTCTCGGACGAAGAGCGGTGAGCGGGTTTTTGAGCGGTATGCGAGGCAAAATTTTTGTGATAAAAGCGAGCGGTATGCGGATTGAACGTTATGTGATGCGTACGGTATGCGGGGGTCCACTGTACTATACTTTCATACATTCCCTTCTTTGCCTCCATAGATAACGTTTTTTGACTCCACATATACCTCAACGCACCACTCACCTTTTTTCCCTCATTAATTCTATGATTAACCTCATCCTTCATAAATCCATCCGCTGACACGTCAACTCCCAAGTACAGTGGACCCCCGGTTAACGATTTTAATCCGTGCAAGAGGGATAATTGTTATGCGAAATAATCGTTATGCGAATGAATTTTCCCCATAAGAAATAATGGAAATAAAATTAATCCGTGCAAGACGCCCAAAAGTATGAAAAAAATTTTTTTTTACCACATGAAATGTTAATTTTAATACACACAAACTGAAAAAGGCATGCACAATTACATGACACTTACTTTTATTGAAGATCTGGTGATGATTGATGGGATGGGAGGAGGGGAGAACATTATCTTCTTACTGTTTAGAAGGGGAATCCCCTTCCATTACGACTTGAGGTAGCAAGTCCTTTTCCGGGGTTACTTCCCTTCTTCTTTTAATGCCACTAGGACCAGCTTGAGAGTCACTGGACCTCTGTCGCACAACAAATCTGTCCATAGAGCTCTGTACCTCCCGTTCCTTTACGATTTGTCTAAAATGGGCCACAACATTGTCATTGAAATAGTCACCAGCACGGCTTGCAACAGCTGTGTCAGGGTGATTTTCATCTATAAAGGTTTGCAGTTCAACCCACTGTGCACACATTTCCTTAATCTTTGAAGTAGGCACAATGGATTCCACAACTGGCATAGGCTTCTCAGGGTTAGCCCCAAACCCTTCAAAATCTTTCTTAATTTCCATACTAATTCTCACCCTTTTTACCACAGGGTTGGCACTAGAAGCTTTCTTGGGGCCCATGGTCACTTATTTTCCAGAAACAGCACCGAAAACACTGTAATAATACGAAATATTCAGAGTGTATGCTTGGATGTTACCGCGGAGGCTGGCTGGTAAACAATGGGACGGGCGGCACATGTGAGGGCACATTGGACGCGTCTCGGACGAAAATCGGTGAGCGGGTTTTTAATCGGTATGCGCGGCAAAAATTTTGCGATAAAAGTAAGCGGTATGCGGAAAAATCGCTATGTGATGCCATCGTTATGCGGGGGTCCACTGTATCTGAAAACATTCACTTCTTCCATATTCCTCCTCCCCAATTTGATATCCAATTTTTCTTTATCTAAATCATTTGATACCCTCATCACCTTACTCTTTTCTTTGTTCACTTTCAACTTTCTACCTTTACACACATTCCCAAACTCATCCACTAACCTTTGCAATTTTTCTTTAGAATCTCCCATAAGCACAGTATCATCAGCAAAAAGTAACTGTGTCAATTCCCATTTTGAATTTGATTCCCCATAATTTAATCCCACCCCTCTCCCGAACACCCTAGCATTTACTTCCTTTACAACCCCATCTATAAATATATTAAACAACCATGGTGACATTACACATCCCTGTCTAAGACCTACTTTTACCGGGAAGTATTCTCCCTCTCTTCTACACACCCTAACCTGAGCCTCACTATCCTCATAAAAACACTTTACAGCATTTAGTAACTTACCACCTATTCCATATACTTGCAACATCTACCACATTGCTCCTCTATCCACTCTATCATATGCCTTTTCTAAATCCATAAATGCAATAAGAACTTCCCTACCTTTATCTAAATACTGTTCACATGTATGCTTCAATGTAATGTAAACACTTGATCTACACATCCCCTACCCACTCTGAAACCTCCCTGCTCATCCGCAATCCTACATTCTGTCTTACCTCTAATTCTTTCAATTATAACCCTACCGTATACTTTTCCTGGTATACTCAGTAAACTTATTCCTCAATAATTTTTACAATCTCTTTTGTCCCCTTTCCCTTTATATAAAGGGACTATACATGCTCTCCGCCAATCCCTAGGTACCTTCCCCTCTTTCATACATTTATTAAACAAAAGTACCAACCACTCCAACACTATATCCCCCCTGCTTTTAACGTTTCTGTCATGATCCCATCAGTTCCAGCTGCTTTACCCCCTTTCATTCTATGTAATGCCTCACGTACCTCCCCCACACTTACATTCTGCTCTTCTTCACTCCTAAAAGATGGTATACCTCCCTGGCCAGTGCATGAAATTACCGCCTCCCTTTCTTCCTCAACATTTAAAAGTTCCTCAAAATATTCTCGCCATCTACCTAATACCTCCCTCTCCCCATCTACTAACTCCCCTACTCTGTTTTAAACTGACAAATCCATACTTTACCTAGGGTTTCTTAACTTGTTTAACTCACTCCAAAATTTTTTCTTATTTTCATTAAAATTTTTTGACAGTGCCTCTCCCACTCTATCATCTGCTCTCCTTTTGCACTCTCACCACTCTCTTCACCTTTCTTTTACACTTCATATACTCTGCTCTTCTTATAACACTTCTGCTTTGTAAAAACCTCTCATAAGCTACCTTTTTTTCTTTTATCACACCCCTTACTTCATCATTCCACAAAAGCATCATAGCACACTTTGGATGGATGACCACTTGCATTCAGTCACATTAGAGGAGGTCAGAATTGTAAATGTACCCATACCCCTCAAGTTATACACACATGTACATACGTGCACACACCTAATAGCAGTTTTGTCTACTAGTCTTGTACTTGTGTTTGTCTACTAGTGTTGTACCTGTGTTTTGTGTATTAGTGTTGTACCTGTGTTTTGTCTACTAGTGTTCCAGAAAGGCTAGCTGGTCATCTCTTCAACTCATGATGTTGCCTTTTGCATCCCTATGGATTATGCACACATTCCTCTACTCAATCCCTACTGCATGCATATGAGTTAATTAATTCTGGTTAAAAGTTCTTTTCAGTTTTCCTCATATACTTCTTATCATATTTGCTGCATGGTAGAGTGTAGACCCTAGCATCACAAATAGGTGGGAAGACAGAGGGTTGCTTCTTGGTATGGGCTTGGATGATAGTGGTTCCATCAACCACATTGATATTGCTTCTAGTCAGAGCTCACTGTGCTAGCCACTGGACCACAGAGAATGAGAGAGAGAGACAGAGAGAATTAGAGAGAGTTAGCCAATCAGTCCAGTCCAGCCAATCTTTATCCACATTTACTGAGGTTTGTGGAGGCTACAACTGCAACCCAGCCATGAGTTTTATGGTGAGCCCCTAACTCTACCATCAGTCACTAACAAGCTCTAGTAATTCAAGGATTTCTAGACTGTGGGTTCGAATCCCAGTCACTCCACTGAATTGTTTACATATACTATTCTTTATGAATTTTTGGCATATTTTACAACACTGAGAAAATTCTTCTGGTATATTATATAAATTTTAAGTATAATATGTTTGTATTTAAATTATATGGCTTTAATTTATCCACAGTGAGCTGAATGTGTCTGCAGTTGATACATCACTGAGTGAGACTGTCGCTCAAAATGTAGCTGAATCTCTTCAGTTGTTCTGTGTGAAGTGCAGACAGTTAATTGTGACTAGTGGTGAGGCTAGCCAAGTTATTGGTAAGTTGCTTAACACATTTAGTTTATTCTTCATGGGGAAAGCGGAGAAGAATCCTTCCTCCATTAGCCATGAGCATTGTAAGAGGTGACTACAGTGCCAGGAGCAAGGGCTAGTAACCCCTTTCCCTGTATAAATTAGTAAGTTTAAAAAAGAAGAAAAAGGGGCTAGTTACTCCTCCTGTACAAATTACTAAATGTAAAAGGAAGAAAAACTTTGTTCTTTTTCGGGTCATCCTGCCTTAGTGGGAGATGGCCGATGTGCTAAAAAAATTAAAAAAGTAACTCATTATTGTATTCTTTTGACGATCGATATTTTGATCAGTTTCTGAGCACTGTATAATCTAAAGATTTAAAGCATGTTGAAAATATTTCAGTTAAATAAATTTGGAAATATTTTCATAGGCTGCTTTAAACCCTTGAGATACTGATTAAGAATAAGCTGATATGTATTTAGATTTATTGTAAAATTTTCTATACCTTTATCACTTGTATCTGATGCTTTTGTTATGTCTGGGTTACCTAGAATATCTTGGAAAAATATTTTCTCTTTATTTGCTTGGAATTTGAAAAATATTTCCTGTTTATTTTCTTGGAATGGGAAAAATATTTCCTGTTTATTTTCTTGGAATGGGAAAAATATTTCCTGTTTATTTTATTGGAATGGGAAAAATATTTCCTGTTTATTTTCTTGGAATGGGAAAAATATTTCCTGTTTATTTTCTTGGAATGGGAAAAATATTTCCTATTTATTTGCTTGGAATTTGAAAAATATTTCCTGTTTATTTTCTTGGAATGGGAAAAATATTTCATTTGTTTATTTTCTCTTTGTGGTTTGGGAAATCATCACCCCTGTGGCCCAGTGTAAGACCAGGGTCAGTTCTTAATCACAGGGATGCACAAAACTCTTCGTAATACATAGAAGCCAGTGTTTAGTACCGTAGTCTTGAGTAATCTGGATGAGATTAGGATAGTGACCACTGGCTTTAAGGCTAAAAGACTGACTGCCTCATCTTCCACTGTGACCTGTGTATAGGTCGACAAAATAAAGGAGCCACCAGCTAGAAATGTATATTATCTGACATCTTAAGTAGAAGGTTGATAAAGAGCTGCTGTGAAATAAGGTATGTGTACCACTGTCCTGCCATATCAGTGGCAGTATTGCCACTGGTTTGGCAGTATCTGCCACTGATATGGCAGTATATGCAGTAGAGCAGTATATGTGCCACTGGTATGGCAGTATATGCTTGCCTTTGTTTTCATGTGTTTTTTCTTAATAATCATTAGTTTTATAACATTTCATTGTCAATTTAGGAGGCCTAGTTTGAGATGGGCTGCAGATGAAATGATCCCCAGAATCATTGGCAGATATATTAGATATACCATAACAGATATTAAAGGTGACTGAGTGGAATCATGTCAACAGATGCTACATCAACAGGAAACCAAATAAATGCACTACTGTAGTGAGAGATTCATATACTACACTTGTTAACTTTTAAATAACTTCTGGATGTATAGATGGCAAAATCCCAACAAAAACAATTCATAACATTCATTAGACTAAAGTACAAATATGCAACTGAAGTGTGAAATCTTCACTCTACCTCACTGGTAGAGGGGGAGAATAAAGGAACTATCAACTAGAGTATGGTGGTACCAACACTGTTGTGTGGATGTGAAGCATTGGTTTTAAATGTTGCGGCAAGGAGGAGGCTAAGGTAGTGGAGATGTCTTGTTTGGGGGCAATGTGAATATTATGCAGAGAATTTGTAGTTTGGAGATTATGAGGAAGTGTGGAGTTGTATTATTCAGAGTGCTGAGGAGGGGTTGTTGAGGTGGTTTAGACAGTTAGAGAGGATAGAGAAAAATAAGATGACTTGGAGGGCGTGTAAACCTGGGTGAAGGGAAGGAGGAGTACGGTTGTCCTAGGAAGGGTTGGAGGGATGTGGTAAAGGAGGTTTTGAAGGCTAGAGGTTTGGACCTCCAACTGTGAGCGTGTTTGATAGGAGTGAATGAAGCAAGTGGCTTTTATGATTTGACATACTGTTGGAGTGTGAGCAAGGTAACAGTCATGATGGGATTCAGGGAAATCAGTTAGCCAGACCTGAGTCATGGAAGTGGGAATTGCAGTGTCCTCACTCTGAAGGATGGATTGGAATGTTGAGGTTTATATGAAGGGTCATTTGAACTGTAATGTCAGCATGCTTCTGGTAAGACAGTTATCAAATGAAGGACAATGAAAGTATTTTATTCTTTGTTGAGTCACACTACCTCAGTGGGAGACAGCTGGAGTGTTAAAAAACATTATATTGAATTGTTTCATCTCAAATTATTATTAAGCAAGGATTATCTACATTAAGCATTTAAAATAGGAATGTTTTGATTCCATATTGGATTACATAAGTTTTTTTTTCAAATGCAGTTTGAGAGTCCGCAATATGTGCAGCATTGCTGACATAATATTGTATATTGTTAATTTTGTTAAACTGTTTCTCAGGTCCTCCCACACCTGCACAAAGCTTGAATGGTGCAGTGGTAAATCAACTTTTGTATGTTAGGAGTCAAGTGGAGCGCACTGCATCAGCCACCCTCGCTCACCTGCCTCAGCCTGTCACCACTATGTTACTACAGGTGAACAACATATACTATTGTGATGTAATTGGTTTAGAAAACCCACAAGTTGAAGAATTACACTTTTGAAATATTTGGGAATCTCTAAATATTCTTTAAAGATACCCAAATATTTCAGAAATATCTAATTCTTCATAAACTACAGGTGCTCTTCGACTTACGATGGAGTTATGTTCTGACAAATTCACCGTAAGTCAAAAATATAATAGGTTGAATATGAATACAGTGGACCCCCGCATAACGATCACCTCCGAATGCGACCAATTATGTAAGTGTATTTATGTAAGTGCGTTTGTACGTGTATGTTTGGGGGTCTGAAATGGACTAATCTACTTTCACAATACTGTATTCCTTATTGGAACAAATTCGGTCAGTACTGGCACCTGAACATACTTCTGGAGTGAAAAAATATCGTTAACTGGGGGTCCACTGTATATGCTAAATAAGTAAGGAAAAAAATAACTACTGTCACTGAATAAGTAAATAAACAGATAATTACTGTAACTAAATATACTAGTATTGAAAAGTAAATAAGTGAATAAAAGTTACGGACTTGCTGCCTTCATGCTGGGTAATTATCACAAGTTTTATCTTCAAAGTAATTGCTTTTGTACCATCGTAAAGTTGAAATATTAGTCAAAATATCATAAGTTGAGGAGCACTGTATTGTATACAGCATTATAGTATGTAAACAGTTTAAAGTCTAGAATGATATGAAATAAGTTGCATATATTGCATTAGAGTTTAGTCTATAGACATTCACATTTATATTTGCCGGGTTAAGGGAGGAAACTAAGAAATAAAATCCTCTGCTTTGAACAACTTCCCAGTAATCTTCTCATTTTTTTTTCAATGAACCGGCCATATCCCACCGAAGCAGGGTGACCTAAAAAGAAAAACAAAAGTTTTTCTTCTTTTTACATTTAGTAATTTATACAGGAGAAGGGGTTACTAGCCCCTTGCTCCTGGCATTTTAGTCGCCTCTTTTGACATACATGGCTTGCGGAGGAAGGACAATACCTTCACTCTGATGGAGAGGTGGGGAAGTTGCAGTTAGTGAGGAAATTGTATTGTAATGTCAGCACTTTTAACAAGGCAACAATTAAATGAACGAGGGTTAATTTTTTTTTAGTTATTTTTTGGTTCATTCTTCCTTGGTGTGAGATGGCCCTTTCAGGGTCCACAGGCCCTCTCAAAGACTTGTTCTCAGGGTCCCCCAAATTTCAGAAAAAAAAAAATATTTTTTTCGTATGAAAAGATAGAGAATCTTTTCCCGATCATAATGACACCAAAAGTATGAAATTTGATGGAAAACTTATGGAATTATGCTCTCACGAAGTTAGCGGTCTCGACAATGTTTATGCATCGGCGATTTTGCCCACTTTGAGCCCTATTTTCGGCCAATTCCAATGTACTAGTTGACAAAAATCATAACTATTTCGCTAGAACTCCATTTTTTCTATCGAATGAGTACAAGAAACCACCAATTTACCGATTTCAACTATCCAATACAGTGGTCAGAATTTAGCAATTTTGCCAATTTCACACAAATTTCAAAAGATGTCAATTTCCAAATAGGGTCCAGAATAAACAAGAAAGACATTCCTGGCACTAAAATAACATTTCCTCTGTTCATTAGTCACGTCCCCATACCCCTCTTACATTTTTTTTGCTTTCCACTTTGAATTTTTATTCTCACAAAAAAAATAAGATTTACTGTTATGCAGACTACTGCATTAGTGTAGAAATGGTATAAATAATATCGGCGCACTTGTGAAAGAATATTAGACTCACCAGTTGATGTGTATTGGATGCTTAGCATGATTTGTTTACTTTTGGTAAAAATCGAACATTTCTGCTACTTTGAGCTCAATTTCCAGGTACTTTTCATTGTAAAACCAGTCAAAATCATATCAATTTCTGTAATATGTCTTCCATTCTATGCAATGAGACCAGGAAAGCTAGAATACAACAATAAATACCATACGAAAATATAGTGCAAAGTCTCTGTTTTAATCCAAAAACACGGTCAAAGTCTTTTTTTTCTCATTATGCACTGTGTGCTGCAGGATTTTTTTTATACTACACACACTGACCACATAGACCCATTCTTTCATATGTAGGCCTACCAGCTTTCTCTCACTAGATTTGAAGGCGCTAGAATTATGCGTACTAGTACGTCATGGACACTGGTGCGCAAGCCGTACTAGTACGTCTGAAACCCTGAAAGGGTTAAGATAAAAAAAATATTCTACTGGCCAGCAGTTTTGGTTATATTGAGGCTGTTTAAAAAAAAAAAATTTTTTTTTTAATACATGGACCATTTCCCACCAAGTCAGGGTGGCCTAAAAAAGAAGAAACACTTTCATCATCATTCACTCTGACACTGTCTTGCACAAGGCATGCCAATATTTCAGTTCAAAATTTTTTATTTGATTTCTATAAAGAAAATGATATAGCTTTATAATCATTCATGTTGTATAAATTTTGTTTCCAGGCATTACCTTCCATTGATTCAGTGATGTCTTCTGCAGTACAACCACTCTTTGATTCCATTACTGATGCTATAGAAGCTATTATTCTCACTGTGCACAGTGAAGACTTCTCAGGGTAAGTTTTTCATTGCTATCACTGGAATTAGTTAGTGTTGCTATATAGATTTTATATTGTGTATGGAATTTTTCCTGGAAGAATACACTAATAACCCACATGTAGTCATATGTTTCTTTCCCCTATGTGTGAGTTATTTGTGTATTGTTCCAATCATGGTATTGTGTCTTTTTGTTCTTCTTGGGAGAACTCTGCTATATGCAGATTCATTACTTACATTGTTAGCGCATCCCAGTATTATTGAGCTGATGTCATTCATCAGCTGGAATACATGTCATGTTTTTCCATGAAATATTAGCATGATGTGTTCTTGATATTTTCAGAAATGACACTAAAGGAACGGATTCGCAATGTTCGCTGTACATGAAGGAACTTCAGGGATTCATCACCAGAGCAGCAGATGATTATCTCTGCATCTATCATCCCTCAAGCATCATCAAGGAGAAGTATGCTTTTCAAGTATCGTCTTAAGCAGATTATTATATTAATATGGAAGAGCTGAAACCATAGATTATACAGGGCCTCTGAAAAGGGATATATAATCAGGTTTAAGCCAAGAAAGGTGTCTGAAGTAGAATATACTTTTTTGAACCCATCATTCATTTTTCAGTAAGGCATGGTGACCCCGAAGAAGGGTAAGTAATTTACCAATACTCGTTTTCTACTATTCTTTCCAGAAATGTATGTTTATTTTATTTATTTTATTATCACACTGGCCGATTCCCACCAAGGCAGGGTGGCCCGAAAAAGAAAAACTTTCACCATCATTCACTCCATCACTGTCTTGCCAGAAGGGTGCTTTACACTACAGTTTTTAAACTGCAACATTAACACCCCTTCTTCAGAAATGTATGTACATCACAAATATAATTTTTTTAAACATGCTGGCTGTTTCCCACCAAGGCAGGGTGACCCAAAAAAGAAGAAAACTTTGTGATGTTTTTTCTTCTTTTTTTATTCAACAAACCGGCCATATCCCACCAAGGCAGGGTGACCTAAAAAGAAAAACAAAAGTTTCTCTTTTTAAATTTAGTAATTTATACAGAAGGGGTTACTAGCCCTTTGCTCCCTTCATTTTAGTTGCCTCTTATGACATACATAGCTTACAGAGAAAGAATTCTTCTCCACTTCCCCATGGAGTAATTATATTATCCATTGATTTCTGATTATGATTTATGTAATAGGAGATTGAATTGATCATGACAATGACATGTTGATAATGAGTGTTAACTTGAAAATGTAAGAAATGGAATATATTGAAAGCACTGAATAACCAATGGTTCTAGTGTTTTGTAAATAAACTAAATAAAACCTGTTCACAGATACCCGCAGTAGCAGCACTTGAACTAATCACCTGCTTATTTTAATCTCACACCAGCAACAGCAGTGTTGGGTGATCTACCTGTACATAGTATACTGTTTAGGCTTGACTAGTTTACCTTGTTTTCTGGGGCAGATGGCCTGTTTCTTCAATTAGATAAATTCTAATTTTTCTTTCCATCTATAATGGAATGTAAGATTTGATCTCTACTTTCAGGATTCACACACTGGCCTGCCGTTGCTTAGATCTGTTTGTACGTCATGCAAGTTTACTACGACCTATCGGTGAAGGTGGAAAGTTGCGTCTTGCTGCGGACTTTGCCCAGGTAAAATTCTTGTATTAAGATACACAGATAACATGCACATAGAAGAAAGAAATTTATGATGTATCAGTCTGTCTTGGATTAAAACGTCGTCATGATTGCCTTCCTCCTATGTGCAGGTTATTTATGTATTGTTGCAGTCAAAATATTGTGCCTTTTTATTCTGTATTAAGATGCAGTTTTAAATTGTCAACAAGTGTATGTGTGTGTGTGTGAGGTTACTGTGCTGGAATGGCAGGGAGGAGGAAAAGGCTTTGCATATGAATTCTTTTAATGAAGAATTAATTGTTGATGACCTGACTGAGATCACTACAGCAGCTGGTAAGGAGGAGAAGAAGGAAGATCATTGCTGGCAGAATTATTTGTTTAAGCTGAAAGACTTACCCAATTTGTCATGTGTGTCTACTGCTGTTGGTGAATACCAGCACCAGTAAAACACATTACTCATTTAAATACACAACATTATATTCAAAGTGCGTGAGCGTGTTAGATAGGAGTGAATGGAGACGAATGGTACTTGGGACCTGACGATCTGTTGGAGTGTGAGCAGGGTAATATTTAGTGAAGGGATTCAGGGAAACCGGTTATTTTCATATAGTCGGACTTGAGTCCTGGAAATGGGAAGTACAATGCCTGCACTTTAAAGGAGGGGTTTGGGATATTGGCAGTTTGGAGGGATATGTTGTGTATCTTTATATGTGTATGCTTCTAGACTGTTGTATTCTGAGCACCTCTGCAAAAACAGTGATAATGTGCAAGTGTGGTGAAAGTGTTGAATGATGATGAAAGTATTTTCTTTTTGGGGATTTTCTTTCTTTTTTGGGTCACCCTGCCTCGGTGGGAGACGGCCGACTTGTTGAAAAAAAAAAAAAAAAAAAAAAAAAAAAAAAGGTAGACAACAGCATATGCAGACATGTGGTAATTTCAAAGGCACTTTTAGAAGGAAAATCCTTCATTACATGATGTTTCATCCACTATACAATAGTGTCAACTTACCTTAAGTTCAGTAGCCTTCCATATTAAAAATATAATTCTACACAATATCTAAAGATTAAATAGAGTAATGACTTGTGTCACTTGTCTTATTTTTCAGATGGAAATGGCAATCAGTCCTCTGTGCAGTCGACCTTCAGAGCTCGGTCGACCGTACAGAATTGTGAGATCTTTTAGACCGCTGTTGTTCCAGACCATTCAACATGTCATTGCTTCTCCCAGCATTGGAGATGTTATTCCCTACTCTACTGTTCTACACTTCCTCTTTGCCAGGGCCCCACCGGAGTTAAGATCTCCCCATCAAGTAAGAATCTGTCTCTCTAGGTTGTGAAGCTTCACTTATATATCATCAGTAGTTTGTTAAGTTATATTAAAAGGGCTTGTAAATCCATTAATTTATTCATTCTTTTTCATGCTTAGCTATTTGCTTTTTTTATAAATTTGTTTACACATCTTTTTTTAGGATCACTTTGCCTCGGTGGGCGACTGCCAGCGTATTAAAAAATAGAAAATCTTCTTGATGCGACCTAATCTTCAGGAGCAGTGTTACTCTTGTGATGTCTTATCTGTAGTAAAAAAAAATGTTATGGGAGGGGTTTGAACTCATGGCAAGTGAGTCCTAAAATTCAAGTCAAGTTATCTGTAGTGTTTGTAATAATTTTTTCTAATATTCTACCAATATATATGTGAAGAAATCCTTCTGGTAGTATTTCTGCAGTTTCTTTTTTATAATCATGATCTCATGTTTTCAATGTTCTTCTTTCACCAAACCAGCCATATCCCATCAAAGCAGGGTATTGTCATTTATTTTATTATTCTCTTATGATCTTGTATGTGGTTATCATGTCTTGTTTTCCTCCTATCTGCCAGCGAGGTTATTTTAAGTGTTTCCAAGCTTGGTAACTTTTTTTTTTTTTTTTTAGCACTAAGAGTCATTTTGTAGCATGTTTATACTTTTTCATTTTATTTTATTAACATATGGGCTCTCCCTCATCCAGGAAGGGTGGCCTGAGCCTCAGGAAACACATTCACATCATTCATTCAGTCACTCTTGCCAAAAGTGTTCTGATGTTCCAGTTCAGATGACTCTCGCCCATCCTTCAGAGTGCAGGCACCATATTTTCCACCTCCAGGACTCATGTTTGGCTAACCGTATTCTTGAATCCCTTCATACTGACATATTTTTGGATGTGGAAACCAGAGTACTGCTGCATATCTCAGTCTTGTCCTGACGTGCATTTTGAACAGTTTTTTTTAGGGTTCTTCCATCAGTAAATATATGGAAGCTATTTTGAAGTTTGCCAGTGTAACAGATGGGTTTCTCACAATTTCACATAAAGTTGATAAATTAGACACATGTGCAACACTTGGGTATCTTTAATGAGGAAACATTTCGTCACACAGTGGCTTTATCAGTCCATACTAAGGAGAATGGTGAAAAACAGGAGGAGTTTGAGGTAATCAGTCCCTCAGCCTTGAGTCAATGTGGTCAGTCCATCAGTCTTGATAAGAATGCAGCATGTGTGTGAAGAAGTAGCTTATATACTGTAGGCAGGAGAGGTGCAGCAGTCGTAGGTGGTATCACATTTGTCCAATGTTGAAGTAGGTCATGCCCAAGGGTTAGGCAAATGAAGAATTCCCTGTCTGACACAGCATCATCTTGGGATCTTAATACAGGGAATTCTTCACTTGCCTAACCCTTGGGCATGACCTACTTTCACATAGGAAAAATGTAATACCACCTATGACTGCTGTACCTACATATGCTGTATTTTTTTCAAGACTTATGGACTGACCACTTCGACTCAAGGCTGAGGGACTGATTACCTCAAACTCCTTCCACCCCAGGTAGTTCTGTTTGTGACTTGAAAAAGCCCACTGTGTGGGCGAAACGTAGTCAATAAAGGATCACATTATACTGCACTTGTGTTTATATTGCCGCTGAGGGACTGATTACCTCAAACTCCTCCTGTTTTTCACCATTCTCCTTTGTATGGACTGATGAAACCACTGTGTGGAGAAACGTTTCCTCATTAAAGATACTATATGATTTCAAGATGGCTCTTTTTTGTCTGTAATCACACCTAGATTCCTCTCTGATGTTTCAAATATTTTATTACACAATCTGTATTGTTCTTCATATGACCTTTAATATTATTCATGTGGAATTTAGTAAGTAGAGCCATAACATGGCTCTCTATTTATATGAAATTCCACTATCTGTCTGTTACTTTATTATCTCAGTTTATCCAAGCCTACTTGTAGGGATTTACTGCAGTTTTCATGACTTTGTACGTGATTTTTTCATTATCTGTAGCTTATTCTGTAACTTTTTATACCTTCTTGCAAGTCATATAAATTAAAACTATCAGGACAAGACACAAATAACTAGCACATAGGAAAGAGAAGCTTATGATGATGTTTTGGCCTGACTTGGACCATTTACAAAGTCACACTGTGTGACTGTAAATGGTCCAAGTAAGACCAAAATGTACTATAGTAAGTTTCTCTCTCCTACATGCAGGCTATTTGTGTACTGTTCCAGTCACGGTATTTTGCCTTTTTGTTTTTTATCAGGATACATACTGTTTCCTGTGAGACATTTTTCCTGAGAAGTATTGTTTGTGTAGATTTATATTAGTCTTTTGAGCACTTATTGTTTTATTTACTTTGTGCACATTGTAATCAAAGTTTATTACAGTTCTTGACCATGTTGGTGATTCATTATTGTTAAGTGTTTAAATGAGAGAGTTGTGTAGTAGAAGTATGTACAGACACTTGAAGCGCTGAGGTGTGGCCATGACACTATCAGCTGACTGCCACAATATATTGGCATATTCTAGATAGTATTTAGTGAAGGGATTCAGGGAAACCGGTTATTTTTATATTGCCGGACTTGAGTCCTGGAAATGGGAAGTACAATGCCTGCACTTTAAAGGAGGGGTTTGGGATGTTGGCAGTTTGGAGGGATATGTTGTGTATCTTTATACATATATACTTCTAAACTGTTGTATTCTGGGCATCTTTGCAAAAACAGTGATTATGTGTGAGTGAGGTGAAAGTGTTGAATGATGATGATGAAAGTATTTTCTTTTTGGGGATTTTCCTTCTTTTTGGGTCACCCTGTCTCGGTGGGAGACAGCCGACTTGTTAAAAAAAAAAAAAATTCTAGATAATCCTCACACTTTGCTTGGGAAGACACAGTAGTGTATATTTTTTTTTTTAACAAGTCATCCGTCTCCCACCGAGGCAGGGTGACCCAAAAAGAAAGAAAATCCCCAAAAAGAAAATACTTTCATCATCATTCAACTCTTTCACCTCACTCACACATTATCACTGTTTTTGCAGAGGTGCTCAGAACACAACAGCTTAGAAGCATATACGTATAAAGATACACAACATATCCCTCCTAACTGTCAATATCCCGAACCCCTCCTTTAGAGTGCAGGCATTGTACTTCCCGTTTCCAGGACTCAAGTCCGGTTATATAAAAATAACCGGTTTCCCTGAATCCCTTCACTAAATATTACCCTGCTCACACGGCAACAGATCGTCAGGTCCCAAATACCATTCGTCTCCATTCACTCCTATTGAACACGCTCATGCACGCCTGCTGGAAGTCCAAGCCCCTTGACCACAAAACCTTCCTTACCCATTCCTTCCAACCTTTTCGAGGATGACCCCTACCCCGCCTTCCTTCCCCTACAGATTTAAATGCTCTCCATGTCATTCTACTTTGATCCATTCTCTCTGAATGACCAAACCACCTCAACAGCCCCTCTTCAGCCCTCTGACTAATACTTTTATTATCTCCACACTTCTTTCTTCTTTCAACACACCGGCCGTATCCCACCGAGGCGGGGTGGCCCAAAAGGAAAAACGAAAGTTTCTCCTTTTACATTTAGTAATATATACAGGAGAAGAGGTTACTAGCCCCTTGCTCCCGGCATTTTAGTTGCCTCTTACAACACGCATGGCTTACGGAGGAAGAATTCTGTTCCACTTCCCCATGGAGATAAGAGGAAATAAACAAGAATAAGAACTAGAAAGAAAATAGAAGAAAACCCAGAGGGGTGTGTATATATGTGCTTGTACATGTATGTGTAGTGTGACCTAAGTGTAAGTAGAAGTAGCAAGACGTACCTGAAATCTTGCATGTTCATGAGACAGAAAAAAGGACACCAGCAATCCTACCATCATGTAAAACAATTACAGGCTTTCGTTTTACACTCACTTGGCAGGACGGTAGTACCTCCCTGGGCGGTTGCTGTCTACCAACCTACTACCTATTTATCTCCACACCTTTTCCTAATTTTCACACTCCGAATTTTCTGCATAATATTTACACCACACATTGCCCTTAGACAGGACATCTCCACTGCCTCAACCGCCTCCTCGCTGCTGCATTCACAACCCAAGCTTCACACCCATATAAGAGTGTTGGTACTACTATACTTTCATACATTCCCTTCTTTGCCTCCATAGATAATGTTTTTTGTCTCCACATATACCTCAATGCACCACTCACCTTTTTTCCCTCATCAATTCTATGATTAACCTCATCCTTCATAAATCCATCCGCCGACACGTCAACCCCCAAGTATCTGAAAACATTTGGCTGTCTAATAAAACAAGAGAGATGTATGAGTAAGTCTCCTGACATCTCCTGCCCTTAAGCCAAAGCTTGTAGCATAGCTGACTTCTTATTTTCTTCTCCACTAAGCAGGATACTTTTGTCTTCACATGAATACATTATACAAAGTAAAAGCTCTACAGACAAGTTGGTTATGTATTATTGTTATTATAATGAAAAAGAAGTGCTAAACCTACAAGGGTCATACAGCACAGCGGGGCAGGGGATAGTGCAAGATTACAGATTAGCAAAGATGGAGTAGACAACAGAGGGAGAGTTAGAAAGGGCTGTGAGAAGTGCTAGAGGAAGTATCATCAAAGTTTGTGTAGCTAATCAGTGGGTGTCAAAAAGTCAATGAGGGAGTCTGAGTCAAAGGTGCGTCCATCAACAAGGAGGGAAGATAAAGTAAGGGCGTTAAAGCAGTGACGACATCGGAGGTAAATCCTGGAGGTGGGAAGTACAGTGTCTGTGCTCTGAAGGTGGGGTGTAGATATATTGCAGTTTTTGTTAATTGTAGTGTCAGCACACCTCTGGCAAGAGAGTGATGGAGTAAATGATGATGAAAATGTTTCTTCTCTTTTGGATCACCCTGCTTTAGTGGGAAATGGCCAGTGTGTTAGTAAAAAAAAGCAAATTATAATGCAACACTTTTCAGGATCATATCTCCAGCATTGTGATAGAGTTTAACTATATTTTTCTTTTCTTTCAGACTGCTGGCTGGTCTGTTAGTCGCTACAGTAACTGGTTGGATGAGCACCAGGATGAGCGAGAGCGTTTGCAACTTGTCAGAGGGGCTCTGGAAGCTTACGTGGCTAGTGTCAGGTCACGCCACCTTACACAGTTTGCTTCAGTTTATCCTCCTATGCTCAAACTCCTAGAGAAGGGAATGGTTGCTCATGGACTAACAACAACTTCATAGCCTTATTCAAAGTTTATCTGTGTAATGTAATTGTCTAAATGGGCATCCTGGGAATTGTGTATTGCTAATATTACCTGATTTTGCATTTAATGTGGGATGTGCCTACAGGATGCTGTCCATGACAGCCTAGTTGATCAGGCAGTTAACAAGGATTATCTACTTCATGCCAGGCTGTGAGAGTTGAGGAAACTTCTAAATTGGTTTCAGGTATCATGTTTTTAAGATTGTACAAGAGTAAATTTTTTAACTTTTGGTCCTTGACTAGCAGTCCTTTTTTCTCTAAAAATTATTCCACATTAATCAGCTATAAAAACAGAAGCATCAGGGAAGAGAGAGGTGAAGGTTTATAAACTAAAAGAGGAGGCAGTTAGGGTAAGATATAAACAGCTATTGGAGGATAGATGGGCTAATGAGAGCATAGGCAATGGGGTCGAAGAGGTATGGGGTAGGTTTAAAAATGTAGTGTTAGAGTGTTCAGCAGAAGTTTGTGGTTACAGGAAAGTGGGTGCAGGAGGGAAGAGGAGCGATTGGTGGAATGATGATGTAAAGAGAGTAGTAAGGGAGAAAAAGTTAGCATATGAGAAGTTTTTACAAAGTAGAAGTGATGCAAGGAGGGAAGAGTATATGGAGAAAAAGAGAGAAGTTAAGAGAGTGGTGAAGCAATGTAAAAAGAGAGCAAATGAGAGAGTGGGTGAGATGTTATCAACAAATTTTGTTGAAAATAAGAAAAAGTTTTGGAGTGAGATTAACAAGTTAAGAAAGCCTAGAGAACAAATGGATTTGTCAGTTAAAAATAGGAGAGGAGAGTTATTAAATGGAGAGTTAGAGGTATTGGGAAGATGGAAGGAATATTTTGAGGAATTGTTAAATGTTGATGAAGATAGGGAAGCTGTGATTTCGTGTATAGGGCAAGGAGGAATAACATCTTGTAGGAGTGAGGAAGAGCCAGTTGTGAGTGTGGGGGAAGTTCGTGAGGCAGTAGGTAAAATGAAAGGGGGTAAGGCAGCCGGGATTGATGGGATAAAGATAGAAATGTTAAAAGCAGGTGGGGATATAGTTTTGGAGTGGTTGGTGCAATTATTTAATAAATGTATGGAAGAGGGTAAGGTACCTAGGGATTGGCAGAGAGCATGCATAGTTCCTTTGTATAAAGGCAAAGGGGATAAAAGAGAGTGCAAAAATTATAGGGGGATAAGTCTGTTGAGTGTACCTGGTAAAGTGTATGGTAGAGTTATAATTGAAAGAATTAAGAGTAAGACGGAGAATAGGATAGCAGATGAACAAGGAGGCTTTAGGAAAGGTAGGGGGTGTGTGGACCAGGTGTTTACAGTGAAACATATAAGTGAACAGTATTTAGATAAGGCTAAAGAGGTCTTTGTGGCATTTATGGATTTGGAAAAGGCGTATGACAGGGTGGATAGGGGGGCAATGTGGCAGATGTTGCAAGTGTATGGTGTAGGAGGTAGGTTACTGAAAGCAGTGAAGAGTTTTTACGAGGATAGTGAGGCTCAAGTTAGAGTATGTAGGAAAGAGGGAAATTTTTTCCCAGTAAAAGTAGGCCTTAGACAAGGATGTGTGATGTCACCGTGGTTGTTTAATATATTTATAGATGGGGTTGTAAGAGAAGTAAATGCGAGGGTCTTGGCAAGAGGCGTGGAGTTAAAAGATAAAGAATCACACACAAAGTGGGAGTTGTCACAGCTGCTCTTTGCTGATGACACTGTGCTCTTGGGAGATTCTGAAGAGAAGTTGCAGAGATTGGTGGATGAATTTGGTAGGGTGTGCAAAAGAAGAAAATTAAAGGTGAATACAGGAAAGAGTAAGGTTATGAGGATAACAAAAAGATTAGGTGATGAAAGATTGAATATCAGATTGGAGGGAGAGAGTATGGAGGAGGTGAACGTATTCAGATATTTGGGAGTGGACGTGTCAGCGGATGGGTCTATGAAAGATGAGGTGAATCATAGAATTGATGAGGGAAAAAGAGTGAGTGGTGCACTTAGGAGTCTGTGGAGACAAAGAACTTTGTCCTTGGAGGCAAAGAGGGGAATGTATGAGAGTATAGTTTTACCAACGCTCTTATATGGGTGTGAAGCGTGGGTGATGAATGTTGCAGCGAGGAGAAGGCTGGAGGCAGTGGAGATGTCATGTCTGAGGGCAATGTGTGGTGTGAATATAATGCAGAGAATTCGTAGTTTGGAAGTTAGGAGGAGGTGCGGGATTACCAAAACTGTTGTCCAGAGGGCTGAGGAAGGGTTGTTGAGGTGGTTCGGACATGTAGAGAGAATGGAGCGAAACAGAATGACTTCAAGAGTGTATCAGTCTGTAGTGGAAGGAAGGCGGGGTAGGGGTCGGCCTAGGAAGGGTTGGAGGGAGGGGGTAAAGGAGGTTTTGTGTGCGAGGGGCTTGGACTTCCAGCAGGCATGCGTGAGCGTGTTTGATAGGAATGAATGGAGACAAATGGTTTTTAATACTTGACGTGCTGTTGGAGTGTGAGCAAAGTAACATTTATGAAGGGATTCAGGGAAACCGGCAGGCCGGACTTGAGTCCTGGAGATGGGAAGTACAGTGCCTGCACTCTGAAGGAGGGGTGTTAATGTTGCAGTTTAAAAACTGTAGTGTAAAGCACCCTTCTGGCAAGACAGTGATGGAGTGAATGATGGTGAAAGTTTTTCTTTTTCGGGCCACCCTGCCTTGGTGGGAATCGGCCGGTGTGATAATAAAATAAATATAAAAAAAACAGTTTAGGTAACCAATATACAATACTGTAATTTTACTGAAATATACTGTACTGTGTGACTTGAGTTTATTGAAACAAAGATGATTCTTAAGTTTAGTCAGCAAGGCAGCTTAATTAGTGGGTTATCTTCAATAAAATTATGTGCTAAGTGCTCTAATAATTGTTTATATATTATAGTGTATATATACACACATATATTGGTATTTATTGCTAATTTACCAGTAAAATATAGTATTGTACCTTTCAATTTCTGCTGTTTTACACACAAAATACAGTAAGTCATCACTTAACATCGTGAATAGGTTTCTTGGAAATTGCGACTTTATGCAAAACTAGTATCATATGATTATTGTATACTTTACGAATTTTTATTTTACAATAATTTTGATTCATTATATTTTATTTTTTCTCATCAATATTATAACAAAACGACATTATTCGAGGACCTGCTGTATGGTGTGATTTCTTAGACTTACAGAGGCAGAGGTATGTTTACAGAGTCCTGTCTTCAGAATTTGGGAATTAGATATTAAATTTTTAGAAAAATGCAGTGCATAGATTAGTAAATTTCAATATGAAGTTAATATACACTGGTTGGTAGCAAATATTTTGTATTATCTATACATATTGTGAGAAAGATTTTGGGCATAATAGTTTCATAGTGTACATTAGTTATTTATGCATTTTATGAGTAATATCAAATTTGTTTTTAGATAATAATTTTTTAGTTTTTAGCATATCAGTCATCTACCACCATGGTAGAGCTACCCGAAAAAGAAGAAACACACTCATCATCATTCGTTCAATTGCATTCTTGCCAGGGGTGTGCCAGCATAGTTCAGATGACCTTCTAAACTGCAACATCCTATGTAAAATTATTAATATTATTATAAATGTTCTCACATATGAATGGTGAAAGGTTATTTTTAACTATGCACATAATATGTATAGGAGGGAGAGTGGTATAATCAGAGTTCAGGCAGTGTTCATTCACATATTTAAACCTGTTGAATAATATCCAGCTTTTAATTTCTTATGGTATGCTGTGACATATTTTAAGAATATCAAAAATATCTGCCTCGGTGGGAGACGGCCGACTTGTTGAAAAAAAAAAAAAAAATCTGGCAAGACAGTGATGGAGCGAGTGTTTCTTTTCCTTCAGGTCACCCTGCCTCGGTGGGAAATGGCCAATGTGTTAAGAAAAAAGGTTCTTGTATTGTGTCCATGGATGTTACTACAACTTTTCAGAAAGAATATTATCTAGTTTCTGCATCATAGTTCTCAAGATCCAGTCGCTCTATCATTCACTGTAAAGTGAATGATATTGTGAAAGATTTTTGATACCTAATAGGTTGAAAGATATGAATAGGAGTGGTGAGTGTGCTGTCTAGTTCCATATAGATTTGCAAAGTTTCCAGGGGTTGTAGCATATACTTGTTAGGAAATACTTTTAAAGTTTTAGGGTTGTGAGTTATTTACAGATGAAGTGATGAAGGAGGATAACTACACAGTTTCAAGGATAGATATGATTATGAACTGGAGGTCAGGAATCAGTAGTGCCTATCTGCAAGAGTTAAGAGGCAGGCCAGGACCTATGGCTTGAATCCTACAACTACAACTAGGTAAATACATTACCACATCTTGGATATTATTCCGATAGGATGTCATTAAAAGGTATGTCAAAGTATTGGTATTACTAACAGTGAGTATCAGCTAATTCTGAAGGTATTGGTATTGGCCTGAAATTGAATATTGGTATCGGTGGCTCTTAACTAATTTGATGGTAACAGTATCAGTGGGTATCATCTAATTTTGATATCGGTATTGACTTAAATTTGAGTATCAGTATTATTGTAGATACAGTACTACCTCAGTACTCTAACTTAATTTGTTCCAGAAGACTGTTCGAGTGCGGATCTGTTCGAGTACCATATGAATTTTTCCCATAAGGAAAAATGAGAGTGAGATTAATCCGTTTCAGACCCCCCAAAAATACTTACAAAAACATTTTAACACAAAGTTTACAAGCCTGGTCAACCGAGCAAGCAGTCAACTACTGAGCGATTTTTTTTACCTAACAAAGCATTCAAATACCAAATTGTTCGAGTTGGGAGCTGTTCGAGTACTGAGGTACTACTGTATTGACAAAAATTATGGTATCTTCCCATTCCTATCACTTTTACTGTGAAGAAATATTTCCTGGTGTCCCTTTTGTTTGTGAGTGTATATAATTGAATATTTTCCAGTTAAGACTGGTGTATTGCTTTGGTTAACCCCTTAACTGTGACCAGTGTACTGGTATGCAGGCAACAAGGATGTGTCCCATGTACTAGTGAGCACAAGTGTTCATGCCTTGAAAGTATTATTGTTTTATTATAATCAAAAAGAAGCACTAAACCTACAGGGGTCATACCGCACAGCGGGGCAGAGTAACTCTGCTTAATTAGCATAAGCAAACAATTAAACCAGGACCTGTTGTTCTACCACTAACTTCCCTACCAGCAAACGGTACAAAACTGGCAGGAGGATGCCTTACTTATTCCTAATTTATTATGATTTCATGATACTAACAGCACCTCTGCAAAAACAGTGATAATGTGTGAGTGTGGTGAAAGTGTTGAATGATGATGAAAGTATTTTCTTTTTGGGGATTTTCTTTCTTTTTTGGGTCACCCTGCCTCGGTGGGAGACGACCGACTTGTTGAAAAAAAAAAAAAACAGTGGAATTCAACCCCCCCCTAAAAAAAAAAAAAAAGGTGCATTGTACATATAACCCAGTGTAGTCAAACTGTGATTTATTTTCATGTTTTAAGGTGTATTTCACTTTGAAACAATTGTATTATAATAAACATTCCATATACATAATATTAGAACACTGAAGCAGTTAAAAAAAATATTTCCATCAATTTATACTGTATATTCTTGTAGGTTTATCACTTCTTTTTAATTATAATAATATACTGTATATTCTAAGTGGAGCAATGTAGGACATGTATTTCCCTCTGTTTGAACTACTAAATATATCTCAGATCATAAGAAACTAGTGTACATAGTGTACTTACGCTATTATTATTGTTACTGTATAGTCAAAAAGAAGGTTTGTCAGGGTTCTGTTTGCCATCTTAAGTTTTTCAGTCCTAGTATAAAAATTAACCCTAAAACATGTCACTTAAACTACAGTCCTCAAGCATATATATCAGCAGCATCTGGGCCAGATGTACATATAACACCTTCACCACTTGTTGTCTTATTACACCAGTTGCAGCTGGTCTGATAGTGTTTTACCCCTTTTATGGAAAACTGCAGGCATCTTTTTTTGAAATTAGGTATGTTTGGGTGTACCTTTGAAGAGGTATATACCTTTGAAGAGTTTTGAGAGTTTATCTACTCTCTGAGCCTGGCCATGGGCCAGGCTCATAACCCATTACTCTTACTCATTCAAACTTTATATGGCTAGAACTTGTGGTTAAGAAAAGCCCTTCACTATCATAAAGGCACAACCCTTGAAGGTTGTTTAGGTATAAGAATACTTAGCATAAAAAGCCCATTTATTGACATGACAAAGGGTACATAATATCCAGTGGGCAGCTAAATGTAGACCCACTGCTCCTGGCTGCTGTCTGGCCCAGACTTATGGAACTGATCACACATCTCCCTTAAGTTAACAAGGTAACTGAAGAACATACCATTTGTGGACAGATATAAGCAAGAAAACACAACAGTGAACATGAAGTACAATAATAAAAGAATGCTGCTGCTTTTGTTTGCTGCTTCCTCCTTGGTGGGAGGGAAAGTTACCCAGCTCCATCCATCTGCTGTGCTGATACAGTGAGAAAGACTCACATTTGCACTGAAACTTTTATTATGATATTATGATATTGCACTCACGATTGGACTTTATCAAGCATACAGAAACACACACCTGGCCTTGTAAGGCAAACCTCCTCTCAACCTGACCTCAGTGTGCTTGTCTGCTGTATGAGGTCATGTATCTGTGTTCGTATGTACAGTCAGAGCTGTATGGCCCTTTCAGGTTTACCGCTTAGCTTCATTATATCTTGAAGGGGTGTATTGAGGTATTGAGAGAGAGAGAGCCTTGGAGACAGCATTGTAGTCACAAATTATCTCATGTGAACCCAAGTCTCAACCAACCTGTTAGATTGAGGATAGTGATCCTCATAGTGGCACTTGACTTCTGAACTTAATACATCTTACCACTGCTGAGGTTGGTACTTATTTTTGGGGAAATTTCCATTGGGTCAAGTATCCCTTGGCTCCAGGATGAGGGTGGTTGACAAGGCATCATTGGGCAGGTGTGACACTACCTAGTCTTTTAGCCTATCCATGTAGGTAATATGCAACTAGCCTTGAAGCCGGTATAGGTCTTTAACTGGATGTTACAACAGATATTCTGGAGAGTATGACATTTTCATACAGTGACCGATGATGCTGCCTATTAGCTTCAATATCAGGTCAAAATACTGCCTGCTGGACCTGGTTTAACCTAAATATGACCTCCTGGTGACTTTCATGCAGGTTTGTGGTTACCTGGTGTACCAGTAACTGGGCTTACCAGCCAGACACAGACTTGTTCTAACATATAAATTGATGTGGCCAGTTTCTCCCTTGCTTTGTAGAAGGGCTGTAGACAGGCAACTTCTTGCCTGGTCATCAGACTAGTCATCTACCCTGAATCTCTTTCCTTACAGTTGATACTCCAGATCTGCAGCTGTTAGGGTTTCTGTTAATTTCCTGATCCAACACCATCCTGGCCACTACCAACTCTATTCGGGGGTTGGGTGGGTTCAACACTGGGGGTTTGCAATGCAATGCAATGCTTCCTCCTCCCCCCCTTGAAGTTATTTGACATGACAGTGGTAATGCAGTATATTCTTCAGACAAAACTGCCTGGAGATTGTATTATTAATGTCTTAAGACTCACATCCTAGTAGAAACAGGAAGTCCGTCAAGCCTCGCACCATTCGCAGCTCTTTTCTCAATGGTGGCATAACATGCCTCAGGTGGTGTATCTTACATATGGCCTGTTGTTGGTCCCCTGGGCAGTAAAAGTGTGTATTGACCAACATGTAGGAGCAGTAATACTGTAGGATCACAAACCTGATGATTTCACTACTCCAGTCTGACACCATTGTTTTTGGTTGGCACTTGTTTAATACACTTATCCAGCTTTTGTCACCTGGCTGTTGGTGTCTTGAGAATGGTGGAAGTAGTATGGGAATACCAACAATTTGTAAGTGAAAGATACACTTGCATTGGTCAAGACATTTTCCAAGGTAACAGAGTGCCCGCTTCACTCGTATTGAGGACTGAAGAAACCACTAGTTCAGACACTTCCTTCCTAACTGTCCTGATCAGGGCACGTGTGTCTTACACACATGCCCTGATCAGGGAGTGCTATGATGCTAGTGAAGATCTTGATCCAAGGAATTAACTACTCTCCCTTTCTTGCATCAAATATGCCTGCATCATTCCCAAGGTATTTTTCAGTACTGTAAATGTCTGCTTGAGGTGCCATAGTATGAGTGGAGGGAGATAATGGACACTATGTTGAATAGTGTGGCTATGTGATGGGTCTCTTTGTAATACTGGATGCCAGGTAGATGTGATGAGTTTTCTCATCACTGGTAGTGGATCTCTTGTAGTGTCAAACATGAATGAGAAATGTCATCACTGTTAGTGGGTCTTTTGTGGTGTCAAACAAGGATGAGAAATGTCATCACTGGTAGTGGGTCTCTTATGGTGCCACATGTGGATGAGAAATGCAATTAGCCACGTTCTCCATAAACTCAGCAGGAGGGTGGCCAAAGGTTCCTGTATACTGCATACCTCATCCCTCTGTGTAGCAGAGAGGTAAGGGTTGTGGTTCAGGAATTGTTGAGTCATAACTCCAGTAACAAATGTAAACAAAGTGTAATACATCCTGTCCTTGGCAGTCCTTGTGGCAGTGGTGCCCAGCACATCCACCTTGCCTCCTGCAATATACAAGAACTTACTTGCTACCTAATCTCATATTATCTGGGCCTTCCACATATCCTGGTGCCTGTCTGCCACTGCTAGTATTAGTCGGTGGGACACGTGTGGCGATTACAAGAAGCAGGATGGTCTTCATGGCAGCCCCTACTCTTATGATCCTGGTTATTATTATTATTACAATCAAAGCTAAGCACTAAACCCACAAGGATGATCCTAGTTATGAAGTCCCTGCCTTTAAACTGTGCCCATTTCCTGCAGCACCTAGAAATGTGACTACTTATTTGGCACGTGAAACACTCTTGGGCTTTGGCCGGGTATATGCCTGGCTTGTGCTGTGTGGAACACTTGCTGCATAATTATTTCACTCCTGACGTAAGAGTTGCGTAATGCTCTGCTCTCTCCTAGCTCTTTGCACCACTAACCATGACTAATTTCTGTGTTAACATTGGTAGAATTACCAACAATATGTTAAGTTAAAGGATAGAAGTGCAACTAATGTGACATTTTATTGTGGCAACATTTCAATGACTAATTTCTGTCCGACATGACCACAGCAGTGGAGCCTCTAGTGTTTGTGCTGTTTTATGCTGCCTCAAAGTAAGGCCCCTTGTAGGTTTAGTACTTAGTTTTGATTATAAGGTGAGGCACTTTGTACATGTGACCCCTCAAGGAAGGTTCCTTGATGTTGGTGAGGGGCTCTTGATTTAGGGAATTGGATCTGTGCTCCAGTTCCCCGAATTAAGCCTGAATGCCTTCCACATTCCCCCCCCCCCCAGGCGCTGTATAATCCTCCGGGTTTAGCGCTTCCCCCTTGATTATAATAATAATGTACATGTGACTTTCAATCATCTTATGTTCATTGTGCATTCTTGTATGACCTTTGTGGGTTTAGCACTTGGTTTTGACTATAATAATTATGAATTACTGAATGACAATCACATAACCTGCATCATAAACTTGTGCACTAACATGTAACATATCTTTCTTTCAACACACCAGCCATATCCCACTGAGGCGGGGGTGGCCCAAAAGGAAAAACGAAAGTTTCGCCTTTTAAATTTAGTAATATATACAGGTGAAGGGGCTACTAGCCCCTTGCTCCCGGCATTTTAGTTGCCTCTTACGACACGCATGGCTTTCGGAGGAGGAATTCTGCTCCACTTTCCCATGGAGAATGTAACATGTATATTGAGATATATCATCACATGTGGGGTGCTTTGACTAACACACTATAAGTACTCTTTGGGCATCTTTTCAAAAACAGATAGTTTCACCACTCTGTTGTATTAACTTGAAAGGATTTGTTCCACCAGATCATGTATGAAGATTTTCATATGATCCCTCAAGTGGCATTCACTGCTGCCTCAACACATTCCACTTCCTCTCTTGGTAATAAACAGTCATCAATGAACTTAACACATTGTAAGGGATTGTTCATCACTATCTCCATCAGTGACCATTATTCAAACTAATCCAGTCCAACAGTCTTCGGGTACATAACTCAGCATGAAATCTCATAATTGCCATTCTGTTAGGCCACTGTAAAGTGGAGCCTTTGGGTAGTGATCTGGGAACCTGTGATAAGTGCTCTCTACTGCTGCGATATAGCTGGAGTGTTCTCTACACAGTATAACACTGATGGAAGATTGCTTCTTGTTGCTGAAAGAGTGCTTTTTGTTGATAGAAAATATATTTTTGTTACTGGAAGATTGTTTTGTTGCTGCAAGATTATATCTGTTGGAAGATTGTTTCCTGTTGCTGGAAGATTGTTTCCTGTTGCTGGAAGATTGTTTCCTGTTGCTGGAAGATTGTTTCCTGTTGCTGGAATATTATTTTTTGTAGATGAAAAATATTTTCTTGATACCTGAAACCTAAAATTATCATTTTTGCCAGTGTAATAATCTGTTTCCAATTATTGTTGATCCCTAATCATGTATACCACATGTGAGACCAGATATGGAGTTAATGTTGGTACCGCAAGACGACTGGAAAGAAGCCTTTACTGTGCTGTCAAGTATAGAATCTTTGCACTTGGCATATTCTGGTTACAGATGCAACTTAGGCAGAAAACAAGAGATTCCTGAGATGAGGTTAAACAAAACTTTCAGTTTGCCTGATAGCATCTCGGGTGCAGGAGGACCTGGTTATGAAAGGGCTGGTGGCAGGGCTGGGAGCCTGCTGGGAAGGGTTTATATTTCCCCAAATGGCAGGGCTCGGTGGCCGACGATCCACCAGGGGGCAAGCTTCCCCTTCCCCCCGCAAGCAGGTGTAACTGCAGCGGACTATGAGTTTTTGGCTCCTCCAAGGAGGGTGGGACTTGTTAAGGCTGCTGGTGAGGGCATTGCTGCTGCTGCTGCTGTTAGTGGTGGACATGGTGGTGCCAGTGTGGTGCACCGATGATGTCACATCACCACCTCGAACACCAACCAACCTGCAACACAAATTATTTGAACAACAAGGCACAATATTATGACTGGAACAGTACACAAATAACCCACACATAGGAGAGAGAACTCAGACCCACATCAGAAAGCACTTGCCCTGTTTCCTGACAAACCTTACCTAACCTAAACTAACCTGGCGAGGTGGTAAACATCCTTGCATTAAAGGGAAGGATCACTGTGACCCATATGAGTTTAGCACTTAATAACTAATAGTTTTTTTTTTTTTTCAACAAGTCGGCCGTCTCCCACCGAGGCAGGGTGACCCAAAAAAGAAAGAAAATCCCCAAAAAGAAAATACTTTCATCATCATTCAACACTTTCACCACACTCACACATTATCACTGTTTTTGCAGAGGTGCTCAGAATACTACAATTTAGAAGCATATACATATAAAGATACACAACATATCCCTCCAAACTAATAGTGTATAATTTTATTATTACAGAAGCTGTATGACCCTTGTGGGTTAAGCACTTAGATATGTGCCTATTGTGGAGGTCACATGACCCCTTCAATATCTATTACAAAATATATAATATAATAATACTAAATAACATATAATTCGTCTTCTTTCAACACACTGGCTATATCCTGCCAAGGCAGGGTGACCCCCAGAAGAAAAACAAAAATTTCTCTTTTTAAGTTTAGTAATGTATTCAGGAGAAGGGGTTACTAGCCCCTTGCTCCCGGCATTTTAGTCGCTTCTTACAACACACATGGCTTATGGAGGAAGAATTCTGTTACACTTCCCCATGGAGAATAACATAATTACTATATATGTATTATACTATATAACAGAACCCCTCAAGGAAAGTTCCTTGATGCTGGTGAGGGATTCTTGATCTAAGGAATTACACCTGATCTCCCCCGTCCTTGGATTGAACCTGATTGCTTCCCATTCCCAGGTGCTGCATGACCCTTATGGATTTTACTCTTGGCCTCTAAGTATAATAATGAACAAAACTATTATCATTGTCTTTGTTAAATGGCTGTCTGTCATTAATTTTCATATTGTGAAATTGTATATACATACTTATTCTACTGCAAATACACTTATTATTACTGCTGCTAGCATTGTTACTATCACATATTTCTAAGATAATGCTGTTGAAATTATCATTATTAAGGCTACCAAAAAATACTGAAGAACATTTAAATTCTCTACATTAACCAAAAAGGAAAATGTTGAGTTGAGGTCTAAGCAAGACATCAATAAGCAAAATACCTGAAGAAAGCCCCACGAAATTTTGAAGATGTGATGTTGTAGAGGACGGGATTGATGGCCGAGTTGACGTACACCAGCACTCTGAAGGCGTACAGTAGGTTGTAGTATATCTCCTGAGGCAGAAGTCAAAACTCAGATGATGTTAATGTACAGCTGGTTGTAGTACATCTCCTGGCAACATTTATTAGAATATTGAATAAGCTGGGACAGAGCACATCACACTGTATTCTAATAAATGCCCTAATGCTGTGCCTAGCCAGCCCGATCATTATATGATTAACTTTGCTGATGTAATGATTCACACCACCAGATTCTCCAGCACCCAAAACATCCTTGACCATGTACTAGCCTCATGTCAGGACCTGGGATTGATCATCTCTACTGAGAAAACAAAGATACTCAGCAGGAATCCTTGACAGAGAGGTGCAGTTTGCCAGATACAGTTGTATGATGGGTCTCGACTAGAATATGTAACTGGATACAGGTATCCAGGTTTTGAGGTCCCATTGCTGTATAGCCCTTGTGTTTAGTGCTTCTTTTTGATTATAATAATAAAGTCCCATTACTTGGACCTGTTATAACGGGACTGTCGCCAATACAAAGAAAGGCTGAGAGCACTTAGAGTTGTGGCAGGGTTTCACCCCAGGTATGGTGCTAATATTAAAATTGTGAAAATGATATATCTTGCTTATATTAGAGTATTGCTTGATTATGCTGCGCTTGCATTTGTGTCTGACTGGAAGCTTGGAGGGCTGGAAAAACTGCAGAACGAAGCAATGAGGAGCATCCTAGGATGCCCTCGTACTGCCAAAATTTTGAATATGCAGAAAGAACTTGATATTCCAAGCATCAGAGATCGTGTTACTGTTAGAAATGTCTTCACTGGGGTCAATATACTCAGGCAAGCCCATTCAAACCCCTGCACAGAAGCCCTCCAAGCTTTTCTCAGCACTGGTGAACACCCCTCCAGATGGATCGAAAAAACTGGAACCGACCTCCGAATGAACCAGATGCATGATCTATGTCAAGTAAGGCAACAGCGGTACTTCTCCGCTCCATGGGATATTGCCCCATTCCAAGCTACCATCCCCCCCATTTCCCCACAAAAAACTTCTTAATTCACAACCAAAGCTTTGCCTTGAAGCTAAACAGGATGCTTTAAGCTGTATTGATAGCTTAGTCACACAGCACACTCTTTCACAAGTTATTTATGTTGATAGCTTCATTCACCAATCCATTGGTGCAGCTGGTAGTGCTGCTGTTGTCATACAGAGTGATGGGTCTCAAAGAAATTGGAGCACGCATCAATAACTGGGGCTCTACCCTTCAAACAGAACTGTTTGCCATACTCCTTGCACTCAAATGCATCCACGTATCGAAGGTTGACTTTAATTGTAACTGATTCTCTATCATCTATAAATGCTCTCAACTCATTAAGTATAAATTGTGGCATGCTTGTGTCAGAAGCCAGACACAGGTATGGTAAGATTGTGGAGTCAGAGTGCACATGCTGTGGATTCCATCTCACATTGGTCTTCAGATGCATGATAGAAACTGATAAATTGGCTAAGTTGTATGCTTTCAAAGAGGGAGTAGATTAAAATCTTGGCTTGTCAGGTAGTAGTTTAAGAACAATAATATGAAAAGAACTTGGGTTATCCCAGGTTCTCTACACATATGCTGCTATGTATGATAATCTATGTAACTGTATTTGTGTATACCTGAATAAACTTAGTTACTGAACTTTACTGACTCAAAACTGAGAGAGATTGACACAAGTCAGTCCATCTATCATCATTCCATCATGCAGGAGGAGCCACATGTCTGTGGTGTATCCAACAAAATAAGCCGACTCTTGGATGTCACTACTTCCCGGCTCCAGCTGGGTTACAAGTATCTTCAGTAGGTTAAATCACCACCACCAGATGTAGACCAAACGAAATGTAAACTTTGCCAGATGGACTATTGTCACACCCTGCATCATTATGTACTGGAGTGTGATAAAATTAATGAATTCAGAAATGCTCAAGATACGTCAAAATATTTTAACCACAGTGGTATATTTATTTATTTATTTATTTAATAATTTGAACATGATACAGTGAAGTACAAAGGAATACAGTTATTACAGTGCAACATGTCAAAGCACCTTGTATGCAGAGCATTATGGGCAGGCTTAAAATTAACTTAAGATTAACTAAGCAATAATATATTCAGTGGTAAAAACATTATTGTAAACAGATAACAATTTAGCACAAATGAGTATTACAAAGACAGGTCATATGGTCATTTACTGTGTTGCTGAGCATTCAGTAGAATGGAGTATTCTGTTAGGTAATGTAATTAAAAAATAAAGTTTGATTGGGTCGCAGGTTAGACATTTATGAGATACAATAATGAGAAACGTGTACGAGATACAATTTATGAGATACAATTATTCAGTATTTATTTAGTTGTGGGTGAGTAAGTGAGTAAGACTTGAATTTATAAACAGGTAGTGTTTCTTTTATATTCACAGGTAATGAATTCCAGATTTTAGGGCCTTTTATGTGCATTGAGTTTTTGCATAGCGTGAGATGGACACAAGGAACATCAAAGAGTGATTGATCTGTGCCTTGTGTTATGGTCATGTGTTCTGTTGAGGTTGGTAAGGAGATGTTTGAGGGGAGGGTTTATGTCAGAATTAAGTGTTCTATGAATGTAGTAGGTGCATTCTGGAAAAATATGCTTACTTTCCTCACTGTAAATAAAACTTATGTATAGCCCTTGTGGCTTAGCACTTCTTTTTGATTATAATAATAATAATGTAAATAAAACTAATATTTGCATTAGTGTGGCATGCAAAGAGTACGTACCCTTTATTCGGTGCATGTACAGACCCTCATTGAAAGGCTATCTTCCCCCAACCAGCGAACCAGTACTAAGGATCCTAGAGTTTACCTGGAGAGAGTTCCGGGGGTCAACGCCCCCGCGGCCCGGTCTGTGACCAGGCCTCCTGGTGGATCAGAGCCTGATCAACCAGGCTGTTACTGCTGGTTGCACGCAAACCAACGTACCAGCCACAGCCCGGCTGATCAGGAACCGACTTTAGGTGCTTGTCCAGTGCCAGCTTGAAGACTGCCAGGGGTCTGTTGGTAATCCCCCTTATGTATGCTGGGAGACAGTTGAACAGTCTCGGGCCCCTGACACTTATTGTATGGTCTCTTAACGTGCTAGTGACACCCCTGCTTTTCATCGGATGATGGGGCCCCATTGATCAACCAGTACTCAGGTTCCAGCCAATGAGAAGATGGTTTGGCAATTGCAGAGATGTTGTGGGTACCACACGCTTGTCTGCCCCTGTCATTCCCATTCTAGAGCTGGCTGAAGTACGGTCTGCTCTCTAGTGGCTTCTATTTTGCCTTGCTTACCGTGGAGTGCAAATCGTGTCATTACGATTTCTTGAGTCATGTTGACGGCAGTGAAGGGACTTGAGCTAGAGTTCGTCACGGCCACGCTAGCTGGAGATTCGTCTGTAAAAACTTGCATTTGTGGTCACAGAGGTGCCTGTGCTAACTTTCCTATGGTGTAGAAATATACCTAGTTGGATGAATCTTATTGTGGCTAGCTGGTCTAGTGGCTAACGCGACGGGCTGGAGTTTTGAGACTCTATGACCGCGGGTTCAATCCCGGCCAGGGGTATGGTTTATTTGCAATCGTGTCATTACGATTTCTTGAGTCACCTCTATAATGTTGAGGTACAGTCCCTGGACCCATTATGTACCTCTATAATGTTGAGGTACAGTCCCTGGACCCATTATATAAATCTATAATGTTGAGGTACAGTCCCTGGACCCATTATGTACCTCTATAATGTTGAGGTATAGCCCCTGGACCCATTATATACCTCTATAATGTTGAGGTACAGTCCCTGGACCCATTATGTACCTCTATAATGTTGAGGTACAGTCCCTGGACCCATTATGTATCTATAATGTTGAGGTACAGTCCCTGGACCCATTATGTACCTCTATAATGTTGAGGTACAGTCCCTGGACCCATTATGTACCTCTATAATGTTGAGGTACAGTCCCTGGACCCATTATGTACCTCTATAATGTTGAGGTATAGCCCCTGGACCCATTATATACCTCTATAATGTTGAGGTACAGTCCCTGGACGATTTATGTACCTCTGTAATGTTGAGGTACAGTCCCTGGACCCATTATGTACCTCTTTGATGTTGAGGTACAGTCCCTGGACCCATTATGTACCTCTGTAATGTTGGGGTACAGTCCCTGGACCCATTATGTACCTCTGTAATGTTGAGGTACAGTCCCTGGACCCATTATGTACCTCTGTAATGCTGAGGTACAGTCCCTGGACCCATTATGTACCTCTGTAATGTTTAGGTACAGTCCCTGGACCCATTATGTACCTCTGTAATGTTTAGGTACAGTCCCTGGACCCATTATGTACCTCTGTAATGCTGAGGTATAGTCCCTGGACCCATTATGTACCTCTGTAATGTTGAGGTACAGTCCCTGGACCCATTATGTACCTGTAATGTTTAGGTAGAGTCCTTGGACCCATTATGTGCCTCTGTAATGTTGAGGTACAGTCCCTGGACCCATTATGTACTTCTGTAATGTTGAGGTACAGTCCCTGGACCCATTATATATCTCTGTAATCTTTTTGACTACCACCTACAGGATGGGTCTGGTGTTCATAATAAAGATATTTATCTGACTACCAATTGAGCCACATATTGTTACTGAGCTTCATCAGTTTACCTGGAGAGGGTTTCGAGGGTCAATGCCCCCGCGGCTCGGTCTGAGACCAGGCCTCATGGTGGATCAGGGTCTGAGGCTGTCCAGTGCCTTCTTGAAGACAGCCAGGGGTCTATTGGTAATTCCCCTTATGTATGCTGGGAGGCAGTTGAACAGTCTTGGGTCCTTGACACTTATTGTGTTGTCTCTCAGTGTACTCGTGGCGCCCCTGCTTTTCATCTGGGGAATGTTGCATCTCCTGCAGAGTCTTTTGCTTTCATAGGGAGTGATTTTTGTGTGCAAGTTTGGTACCAATCCCTCCAGGACCTTCCAAGTGTATATTATCATGTATCTCTCTCGCCTGCGTTCGAGGGAATACAGATCAAGGACCTTCAACTGTTCCCAGTGAGAAGTCTTATACCATAATTTTTAAAGGGGTGGACTAATAAGCCAGTGGAAGGCCTTGGTCAGATGACCAAAAGTTCCAGCTGCGGGTCATCATATAATAATAATAATAATAATAATAATAATAATAATAATAATAATAATAATAATAATAATAATAATAATAATATCTTTATTTACTACCAGTACATGTACAAGGTATACACACAATAGCTGACATCAGTAACATACTACTATATAGAAAGCCGCTTGTTATGCTGAGCATTTCCCGCAAATTAGGTCAGTTTTGTCCCAGGATGCGACCCACACCAGTCCACTAACACCCAGGATGTGACCCACACCAGTCAACTAACACCCAGGATGTGACCCACACCAGTCCACTAACACCCAGGATGTGACCCACACCAGTCCACTAACACCCAGGATGCGACCCACACCAGTCAACTAACACCCAGGATGTGACCCACACCAGTCCACTAACACCCAGGATGCGACTCACACCAGTCCACTAACACCCAGGTACCTATTATTACTGATGGTGAACAGTGACAACCAGTGTAAGGAAACACCCCTAATGTTTCTACCCTCGGGAATCGAACCGGACCCTCAGCATGTGAAGCGAGAGCTTTTGTCTCCATACCACGGGCCACAACCCGCGTCAGGAAACACTTGTCCTGTTTCCTGACAAACATTATTACCTACCTATTTTTTCTTAAAATACTATTTCAGAGAGAATCTCATTTTCCTGTCTTAAAATCTACTTCTTACTGTCAATATATATCCTCGCCAGTCATATTTAACAACCTATGTAATAGAAAAATGGAAATACGTCACTGACGTTTTTGGGTTATCACAGTCAGTAAATTACACATATGTTACCACGATAATTTGTGTAACAAGTAAATGTGCAAGGTATACAGGTCTAGCTGACATCAGTAACTTACTACTAACTAGGACTGAGTATACTACAAATTCTAATCAAACAATAGAGCGGAAAAATAACGTGAAGGACCTGGGAGTGGTAATGTCTGAGGATCTGACTTTCAAGGATCACAACAGTGCCACGATCACAACTGTGAAGAAAATGATAGGATGGATAATGAGAACTTTCAAGAGATGCTAAGTCAATGATGATCCTTTTTATATCAGTTGTTCTCTCTAGGCTGGAATATTGCTGAACATAAACATCTGCATTCAAGGCAGGTGAAATTGCAGATCTAGAGAATGTACAGAGAACCTTTAATGCACATGTAAGTTCCGTCAAACACCTTAATTACTGGGAACGCTTGGCAACACTTGACTTGTACTCACTGGAACGCAGGCGAGAGAGATACGTCATAAACTATACTTGGAAAATCCTAGGAGGAATGGTCCCTAATCAGCACACAGAAATTACTCCCTACGGAAGCAGAAGACTGGGTAGGCGGTGCAAAATGCCTCCAATGAAAAGTAGGGGCGCCATTGGTACACAATGAGAAAACACCATAAGTGTCCGGGGCCCAAGACTGTTCAACAGTCTCCCACCAGGCATAAGGGGAGTTACCAACAGACTCCTGGTTGTCTTCAAGAGGGAGCTGGACAGATACTTAAAGTCGTGTCGGACCAGCTGGGCTGTGGTTCCTATGTTGGACTATGTGCGGCCAGCAGTAACAGCCTGGTTGATCATGCCCTGATCCACCACAAGGACTGCTCATGGACCGGGCCGCGGGGGCGCTGACCCCCGAAATACCCTCCAGGTGTACTCCAGGTAAGGTTTAAGGGCTTCCCCATGAACGTAATATTATAAAATAACTAAATAAAAAATAACAATATAATTAAATAACTAACGATAAAAACTAACATAAAGCAATAACAACAGTAATAATAATAATAATAATAATAATAATAATAATAATAATAATAACGTAGTACTGACCTGGCCCATGGACTCCTCTGTCTCCTTAGTAGTGAAGATGACCCAGAGGCTGAAGACACGGTAGGGCAGGAGACAGACGAAGAACACCACCACTACTGTGCCCAGCATCACCACCACCTGCCACAACACAACACTATCAGTAACACCACCACTACTGTGCCCAGCATCACCACCACCTGCCACAACACAACACTATCAGTAACACCACCACTACTGTGCCCAGCATCACCACCACCTGCCACAACACAACACTATCAGTAACACCACCACTACTGTGCCCAGCATCACCACCACCTGCCACAACACAACACTATCAGTAACACCACCACTACTGTGCCCAGCATCACCACCACCTGCCACAACACAACACTATCAGTAACACCACCACTACTGTGCCCAGCATCACCACCACCTGCCACAACACAACACTATCAGTAACACCACCACTACTGTGCCCAGCATCACCACCACCTGCCACAACACAACACTATCAGTAACACCACCACTACTGTGCCCAGCATCACCACCACCTGCCACAACACAACACTATCAGTAACACCACCACTACTGTGCCCAGCATCACCACCACCTGCCACAACACAACACTATCAGTAACACCACCACTACTGTGCCCAGCATCACCACCACCTGCCACAACACAACACTATCAGTAACACCACCACTACTGTGCCCAGCATCACCACCACCTGCCACAACACAACACTATCAGTAACACCACCACTACTGTGCCCAGCATCACCACCACCTGCCACAACACAACACCATCAGTAACACCACCACTACTGTGCCCAGCATCACCACCACCTGCCACAACACAACACCATCATTAACACCACCACTACTGTGCCCAGCATCACCACCACCTGCCACAACACAACACCATCAGTAACACCACCACTACTGTGCCCAGCATCACCACCACCTGCCACAACACAACACTATCAGTAACACCACCACTACTGTGCCCAGCATCACCACCACCTGCCACAACACAACACTATCAGTAACACCACCACTACTGTGCCCAGCATCACCACCACCTGCCACAACACAACACTATCAGTAACACCACCACTACTGTGCCCAGCATCACCACCACCTGCCACAACACAACACTATCAGTAACACCACCACTACTGTGCCCAGCATCACCACCACCTGCCACAACACAACACTATCAGTAACACCACCACTACTGTGCCCAGCATCACCACCACCTGCCACAACACAACACTATCAGTAACACCACCACTACTGTGCCCAGCATCACCACCACCTGCCACAACACAACACTATCAGTAACACCACCACTACTGTGCCCAGCATCACCACCACCTGCCACAACACAACACTATCAGTAACACCACCACTACTGTGCCCAGCATCACCACCACCTGCCACAACACAACACTATCAGTAACACCACCACTACTGTGCCCAGCATCACCACCACCTGCCACAACACATCACCATCATTAACACTATAACTCGTGAAGTAGGGAGTGTGTGGACCTAGTAGCGACCAAGTGGCGGGGCCAGGAGCTGTGGATTGACCCCTGCAACAACAAATAGGTGAATACAAACTTTAAAGCATGTTAAAGTATACAGAGCAAGATGTATACGTGTAATCCAGCTGGTCTTCCAATATTGTAAGCTTTAATTAACCACCTGACATTTCAACGTAGCCTCCCTTTGGTAGATTGATTGTCGAAATGATTTCATCACTGTGAGCCCATTAGTGGATGCACTCAGACTCTGGTTGTGTCATTATAATATACTCACTCACCTCTTTTCTGTTTCACTTGATGACGGTGATTGGTTCCCCAGTGGAAGTCCTGGAGTATACCTGGAGAGTGTTGCGGGGGGTCAACGCCCCCGCGGCCAGGTCGATGATCAGGCCTAGTGGTTTATCAGGGCCTGATCGACCAGGCTGTTACTGCTTGCCACACACAAACCGACGTACGAACCACAACTCAGTTGGTCAGGTACTGACTTTAGGTGCCTGTCCAGCTCCCTCTTAAAGGCAACCAGGGGTCTATTGGTAATCCTTCTTATGTATGCTGGGAGGCAGTTGAACAGTCTTGGGCCCCTCGGACTTTTTGTGGTGTCTCTCAGCGTACTTATCGTACTGGTTTTCATGGGGGGGGGGTGATGTTGCGCTGCCTGCCGAGTCTTTCGTTGTCGTAGGGAGTGATTTCCGTGCGCAGATTTGAGACTAGTCCCTCTAAAATGTTCAAAGGGTATATTATCATGTATCTTCTAGCTTGCGTTCCAAGGAGTACAGGCCAAGTGAAAGTTCTTTATATATTATATTCTCCAGGTTTGCAATTTCACCTGCTTTGAAAGGGGCCGTTAGTGTACAGCAGTACTCCAGCCTAGAGAAAACAAGCCATTAGAAGAGAATCATCATGGGCTTGGCATCCCTGGTTTTGAAGATTCTCATTATCCATCCTATCATTTTCCTAGCAGATGCGGTAGAAACTTTGTTGTGATCTTTGAAAGTAAAATTCTGACATTATCACTCCCAGGTTTTTCACTTTAGTTTCTCGCCCCATTGTGTGGTTAGCATTTGTTTTATACTTTGTTCCAATTTTTATTTCCTCGAGTTTTCCATAGTGGAGTAATTAAAATTTGTCTTTATTGAACTTTGTATTGTTTTCTGAGGCACATTTAGGGACTTGGTTAATGTCCACTTGGAGATCTGAAGTGTCCTCAATGAATGACACTGTCATGTAAATTCTGGTAGCATCAGCAAAGGAGGACACAGTGCTATGGTTTACATCTCTATGTCAGATATGAGGATGAGGACAAGAATGGGAGTGAATACTGTACCTTGTGGATCAGAGCTTTTCACTGTGGCTGCCTTAGACTTTACACTTTTTAATATTACTCTTTGTGTTATTTTTATTAGGTTATAGATCCATCTACCAATTTTTCCTGTTATTCCTTTATCATGAATTTTGTGTGCTATTACACCATGATCACATTTGTTGAAGGCTTTCGCAAAGTCTTTGTATACTTCATCTGTAATTTATTTGTCCTCCAGAGCATCCAAGACCATGTCATAGTGTTCCAGTAGTTGTGAAAGGCAGGAGTGTGCTGCTCTAAACCCGTGCTGCCCTGGGTTGTGCAACTGTTGGGTATCCAAGTGGTTGGCGATCTTACTTCTTAGAACCCTTTCAAAGATTTTTATGTGGGACATTAGTGCTTTCGGTCTGCAATTCTTTACAATCGTGTTACTTCCTCCTTTGTGGAGTGGGGTTATATCCGTTGTTTTTAGTGACTGGGATGATGTCTATGCTTCCTCTCCACAGGATATTTAAGGCACGTGACAGGGGCTTCTTGCTGTTCTTAATGAACACGGAGTTCCAGGAGCCTGGGCCTGGGGCAGAGTGCATGGCCAGGCCATTTATTGCTTTTTCAAAGTCCTGTGGTGTTAGGATTATATCAGAAATTCTTGAACTAACAAAATTTTGAGTTTCTGTCAAAAAAAAAAAAAATAGTTTGTCGACCCTTAGTCTGGTTAACTGCTCACTAAACGCTGAGTCGTATTGGGACTGCAGTATCTCACTCATTTCTTTGCTGTCATCTGTGTAAGTTCCATCTCGTTAACCACTGGATGTGGTTTTTGTCGTAGATTTGGAGTAAGAAAAAGAAATATTTTTCTTTCTAATTTCATTTATGGCTTTAAGTTCTTTCTGTGTTTCTTGTCTTCTGTATGACCCCTTAAGCTTAAGTTCGATATTTTCTATTTCTCTGGCCAGTGCTTCCTTCTGTATTTCAGACATACTGGCCCATTTGAGCAGCTCTGTGATTCTTCACCTTCGACTGTAGAGGGAGCGTCTCTATCTAGTTTACATTTACTCTTCCTTTTCCTTAGGATAATGTGCCTTGAGCAGAGTTAATTCTTTCTAGGCAAAGGTTCAGATCCGTGTTGTTTAGGATATCTTCCCAGCTTGTTTCATTTAGGACATTGTTAACTTGATCCCACTCTATGTTCCTGTTATTGAAGCTAAATTTGGTGAAGCTCCTTCATAACTAATCTTATCTTGTTAGCCAGGAGCCCAGCATATACATGTCTGTACTTCTGTTATGTTGTGATCCGAGTCTTTGATACTGTTACATTTCACACCAGATCATCATTATTAGGGAAGATAAGGTCAAGTGTGTTTTCTAGTCTTGTTGGCTCTACTATTTTCTGGCTTAAGGTGAGTATGTTGCAGAGATTTAATAGCTCTTGTGAGCGTGAATTTTCATCTGAGCTGCTTCCTGGGGTTATCTTTGCCAAAACTTTTGCCACATTCCTCCATTTTAGGTATCTTAAGTTGAAATCCCCCAGGAACAAGATATTTCATTGACAATGTGATCCTTTGTGTGGATCTTTGTGAAAGTTGCAAATATTGCATTTGACTCTGTGAGCAGTCCATTGATGAAAGATAATTTGTTTGTTGATGACTTTAGACTGTATATTTACAAATACAAATGTTGTCACATTGATGGTATATAGGGAGGCTTTATTTGCTGGAACTAATAACGGTTGTTCTGGAGTGGAGGCCGCTGACTGTTTTCACTCCAGTAGTGATCCGAGGTGGTGTAATATTTCTGTCATTTCCTACCATTTTGTTTCAGGCACTGAAAAATCTATCTCTGGAGTGGCTTGGTTGTTTCTTTTAAATAGTGTGTCTGACAGTATGTGTTGTAACATTGTTTTTCATGTACTAATAAATAACACATTTCAGGGCGAAATACATTAAAAAAAACAGTTGCATACTCCTTGGGTCATGAGGTGGTGGCATTTCTGTTTACCAGGATTTTTTGTGTAGCTGGGTTCCCTACTGGTGCAGTTTTTCCTGCCACCACCAATTTCTACCGGTAATGTATCATCATCATCCCCCTTTTTCCATCTCCAGCAGCATCACTATATTGTATTTCTGGATCTTGTGTCTTGGTTCTTACTTCTTCAGTACCAGGACAACTATCTGTCTGGTGTACTGTCTTGTATTTATTATTTATTTATTTATTTATTTTTATTTGGACATGGTTCATAGTTGTACAAAGAAATATATTGATTGGGTGTATATGCCAAAAGGCCCTTGTATGCAGAGCATTATGGGCAGCTTAAAATTAACTTAAGATTAACTAAGCAATGATATATTCAGTGGTAAAAATTATATGTACTGTCTTTTAAGACAGCACCAGGGGTGTCAGCACCAGGGGTGACAGCACCAGGGGTGACAGCACCAGGGGTGATAGCACCAGGGGTGACAGCACCAGGGGTGATAGCACCAGGGGTGACAGCACCAGGGGTGATAGCACCAGGGGTGTCAGCACCAGGGGTGACAGCACCAGGGGTGATAGCACCAGGGGTGTCAGCACCAGGGGTGACAGCACCAGGGGTGACAGCACCAGGGGTGACAGCACCAGGGGTGACAGCACCAGGGGTGATAGCACCAGGGGTGACAGCACTATGGGTGACAGCACCAGGGGTGACAGCACCAGGGGTGACAGCACCAGGGGTGACAGCACCAGGGGTGACAGCACCAGGGGTGACAGCACCAGGGGTGACAGCACCAGGGGTGACAGCACCAGGGGTGACAGCACCAGGGGTGACAGCACCAGGGGTGACAGCACCAGGGGTGACAGCACCAGGGGTGACAGCACCAGGGGTGACAGCACCAGCTGACTCACTCTCTCTAATTTCCCAACTGTTACACAACATTGCCAAATTATCCAAAAAAATTTTTTTTGGTGTTTCTCTCTTTTTGTATAAATAAAATTTGTCTCTACAGGTGTGTGTTGCTTGGGCAGACCGTAAAATATTTCCCTATTTTAATATCATTAGTGGAGGACTGCTGGATATTTGCACATGTACCATGACTTCATTTTTTGCAGGAATTACATGCTAGATAAGATTTTCTTTGGATTTTTAACCCTGGAGGGTTAGCCACCCAGGATAATCCATGAAAGTCAGTGCGTCATCGAGGACTGTCTAACTTATTTCCATTGTGGTCCTCAGTCTTGTCCCCCAGGATGCCACCCACACCAGTCGATTAACACCCAGGTACCTACTCGTTGCTAGGTGAACAGGACAACAGGTGTAAGGAAACACGTCGAAATGTTTCCACCCCTCCGGGAATCGAACCCGGGCCCTCCGTGTGTGAAGCGAAAGCTGTAGCCACCAGGCCACCGGGCCACGCAAGTGAAGCTTCACTTTGAATTACTGTCGAACTTGATTGCTGCCTCTATGTGATTTTACTGGCTTTGAACTTCCTCCTATATATAGTAATATTAGTCATAATTTATGATCCGTTCTCTATCTTGCATTCCCATGACTGATATTACTATATATAGAGGGAAGTTCAAAAATCTTTAAATATCACAGGAAAGATAATCGGGTTCAATCCAAGTGGACGAAAAGATCAAATTACTTAAATCAGGATTCACTCGCCACCATTGTGATGATATATTTTGAGAAATTTTTCATATCTGGAGTTTACCTGGAGAGAATTCCGGGGGTCATATCTGACATATTGCAAACAAACTGCTCATCTTTACTGGTTCACCAACTTTCTTCATCCAGTCCTCCATTTCTGGCTCTTCCCTTCTAATATCCCAGTCTTTCCTGTTCCATACACGAAATCTTTGTCTCATCATCTATTTCTAGCCTACCAAAACAGTCTCTCCATCTTCCTAATATCTGATTCGCTGTCTTCTTAACTACTATGTTTTCCTTACTTTCCACTCTTCCTAACCCTATTCATCCCTTTCAAAAAGTGCCATATCAAAATTTTCTCAGTTACTCTCGTATTGCACTCTCCCAGTCATTCATTTATCCACCATATATTTTACACTTGTATATCTTTCTACGAAGCAAAGCCGTTTCCTCTCTTTTCACCTCATCATTCCACCAATCATTTCTTCTCCCTCATACACCCTCCCTCCTCCTCCACCCATAAAGTTCTGATACATATAATAGCATTACGTTCTATAATTCCGACAATATCTCGGTATTTTCATTTTGATCATTCTTCCCACAAACATTTGTTTATACCGTGTACCTCTCACTATCCCCTTCTTTTATTCAGTTTTATTTCTCGTTCAACCACTGACACCATTGTCCTCGTACAACTTAATTATACCGTAGCCATCACTAAATAATCATACCTCGTCTATAGCCATCACTAAATAATCATACCTCGTCTACAGCCATTTTAAATAATCATACTACGTCTATAGCCATCACTAAATCATACAATTACTATTCTAAAATCATGAATATCTAGAGGTCTATCTATCAACCATTTTATAATAGTCTATCAGACTACTTTCACTGCGTACCTTATCATATATTTCAGTCCTTTTATGATTATAGTTTCTAGGAAGTGGGATTGTCTATAGTGTAATTATCTCTCCACAGCTACAGCAGTAGAACTCAGCTCCTGGTCTCCTCTCTGCTCTAATATGTTAATATGGAAATAAATGGTATAAAACACAATGGAAACCAAGACAAAAGCAGTTTAATGTAAACCTTTATTAACAACGTTGTCAATAAAGGATCTCATTATATTGCTTATGTCTTTATTTTTCCATATGTTAATATAAATTAAAAATCTGTAGTGGACGCAGCACGTACCACAGTACAGTCTCGAAATTCCATTGATCTAATACTAGGGAAAGTATTCGTAATATACCTTTATCTCCACTCGTGTTTAGTAGTAGTAATAATAAAATACTACTACTACTAATACTACTAATAATATTGAATAAATTTAAGCGCTAAACGCATAGAAGGTAAAACCCAAAAGCCCAGGAGAGCGAAACAGTGTGGCTTGTTACCGTAAGGGGTCTTTGAGGGTCTGACACACCTGTTTATAATCATGGAGATTTTGGTTCCTAGGTCAGACACACCTGTTTACAAGTCTGGAGTTTAGGGGTCTAAGAGAGTCTGTCACACTTGTTTACAAGTCTGGAGTTTAGGGGTCTAAGAGAGTCTGACACACCTGTTTACAAGTCTGGAGTTTAGGGGTCTAAGAGAGTCTGACACACCTGTTTACAATCCTGGAGGTTTTGGCTCCTAGGTCAGGCGCACCTGTTTACAAGCCTGGAGTTTAGGGGTCTAAGAGAGTCTGACACACCTGTTTACAATCCTGGAGGTTTTGGCTCCTAGGTCAGGCGCACCTGTTTACAAGCCTGGAGTTTAGGGGTCTAAGAGAGTCTGACACACCTGTTTACAAGCCTGGAGTTTAGGGGTCTAAGAGAGTCTGACACACCTGTTTACAAGCCTGGAGTTTAGGGGTCTAAGAGAGTCTGACACACCTGTTTACAAGCCTGGAGTTTAGGGGTCTAAGAGAGTCTGACACACCTATTTACAAGCCTGGAGTTTAGGGGTCTAAGAGAGTCTGACACACCTGTTTACAAGCCTGGAGTTTAGGGGTCTAAGAGAGTCTGACACACCTGTTTACAAGCCTGGAGTTTAGGGGTCTAAGAGAGTCTGACACACCTGTTTACAATCCTGGAGGTTTTGGCTCCTAGGTCAGGCGCACCTGTTTACAAGCCTGGAGTTTAGGGGTCTAAGAGAGTCTGACACACCTGTTTACAATCCTGGAGGTTTTGGCTCCTAGGTCAGGCGCACCTGTTTACAAGCCTGGAGTTTAGGGGTCTAAGAGAGTCTGACACACCTGTTTGCGAGCCTGGAGGTTGGGGTTGGGCTTATCCTTACACAGCTGTTTGTCCTCAATAAGCAACTGCCTCGCTATCCTCCAGTAGAGGAGCAGCAGCACCAACAGCGGCAGGAAGAATAACATTACCATGGACGACACAACGAACACCTGTGTGAAGGGAAAGAAACACCTGTATTAAAGGAAAACACCTGTGATCCAGGAACACTCCTGTGTGTTGGAAAAAACACCTGTGTACTGGAAAAAATTGCCTTTTCTCAAGGAACATTCCCATGTTCCTTGAGCACCCCTGTGTTCCCTGAACACTACAGTGTTCCCTGCGCACCCCCCGTGTTCCCTGAACACTCCCGTGTTCAAGGAACACTCCCGTGTTCAAGGAAAAAATCTGTATATTGGAAAAAACACCTGTGTATTGGAACACCTGTTTTCAGGGAAAACACCCCTGTGCATGTAAAACACCCGTGTGTAAACACCCGTGTGTAGGGAAAACACCCGTGTACAGGGGAAAACACCTGTGTATAGGGGAAAACACCTGTGTACAGGGGAAAACACCCATGTACAGGGACAAACACCCGTGTACAAGGGAAAACACCCGTGTACAGGGAAAAACACCCGTGTACAGGGGAAAACACCCGTGTACAGGGAAAAACACCCGTGTACAGGGAAAAACACCCGTGTACAGGGGAAAACACCCGTGTACAGGGAAAAACACCCGTGTACAGGGAAAAATACCCGTGTACAGGAGAAAACACCCATATACGGGGGATAACGAGGGCTCTTGATTCAAGGAATGGGAGCTACCCTTCCCTTGACCAGACCTGATGACCTCCACCAAGTACTGTATGACCCTTACTGGAATCTCAAGTACAAGGCAACAGGCAGTAAGAGTACAAGGCAACAACACGAGTACAAGGCAATAGGCAGTAAGAGTACAAGACAACAACACGAGTACAAGGCAACAGGCAGTAAGAGTACAAGGCAACAGCACGAGTACAAGGCAATAGGCAGTAAGAGTACAAGACAACAACACGAGTATAAGGTAAAAGGCAATAAGAGTACAAGGCAACAGAAGTACAAGGCAACAGCGCGAGAACAAGGCAACAGGCAGTAAGAGTACAAGGCAACAGAAGTACAAGGCAACAGCGCGAGAACAAGGCAACAGGCAGTAAGAGTACAAGGCGACAGAAGTAAAAGGCAACAACACGAGTACAAGGAAAGAGGCAGTAAGAGTACAAGGCAACAAGTAGCAAGAGTACAAGGCAACAGAAGTACTAGGCAACAGACAGTACAAGGCAACAGAAGTACAATTCAACAAAAGTACAAGGCAACAGCACGAGTACTAGACAACAGGCAATACAAAGTAACAAAAGTACAAGGCAACAGCACGAGAACAAGGCAATATACAGCACGAAGCAACAGGCAGTAAGAGTACATGGCAACAGCACGAGTACAAGGCAACAGCATGAGTACAAGGCAACAGCACGAGTACAAGGCAATATACAGCACGAAGCAACAGGCAGTAAGTGTACATGGCAACAGCACGAGTACAAGGCAACAGCACGAGTACAAGGCAATAGGTAGACTGCAGAAGTACAAGGCAACAGGCAGACTGCAGGAGTACAAGACAACAGGCAGACTGCAGAAGTACAAGACAACAGGCAGACTGCAGGAGTACAAGACAACAGGCAGACTGCAGGAGTACAAGACAACAGGGAGACTGCAGAAGTACAAGGCAACAGGCAGACTGCAGGAGTACAAGACAACAGGCAGACTGCAGAAGTGCAAGGCAACAGGCAGACTGCAGGAGTACAAGACAACAGGCAGACTGCAGAAGTGCAAGACAACAGGCAGACTGCAGGAGTACAAGACAACAGGCAGACTGCAGGAGTACAAGACAACAGGCAGACTGCAGGAGTACAAGACAACAGGCAGACTGCAGGAGTACAAGACAACAGGCAGACAGGCAGGATGGATGTACAACCACTTGTACTAACCTTGGCCCAGAGTTTGTCAACCCTGGTGAAACACACAGGTACGAGGGACTGGTCGATGTACCTGACGTGTGTGTACTCAGTGAGGGCGATTACGGGACTGTGGGAGGACATTAAGTACTCTTACTAATGACTATATATTAATATACACCCAGAAATATAGAATAATACATTACCATACCATGACATGAGGTAAATACCCAGTGTTAGGACAGTCATCCATGGGAACGCCTTTCGTTAATAGGTACCTGGTGTGGGTCGCATCCTGGGTGTTAGTGGACTGGTGTGGGTCGCATCCTGGGTGTTAGTGGACTGGTGTGGGTCGCATCCTGGGTGTTAGTGGACTGGTGTGGGTCGCATCCTGGGTGTTTAGTGGACTGGTGTGGGTCGCATCCTGGGTGTTAGTGGACTGGTGTGGGTCACATCCTGGTGTTAGTGGACTGGTGTGGGTCGCATCCGGGGTGTTAGTGGACTGGTGTGGGTCGCATCCTGGGTGTTAGTGGACTGGTGTGGGTCACAACCTGGGTGTTAGTGGACTGGTGTGGGTCGCATCCTGGGTGTTAGTGGACTGGTGTGGGTCACATCCTGGGTGTTAGTGGACTGGTGTGGGTCACATCCTGGGTGTTAGTGGACTGGTGTGGGTCACATCCTGGTGTTAGTGGACTGGTGTGGGTCGCATCCTGGGTGTTAGTGGACTGGTGTGGGTTGCATCCTGGTGTGTTAGTGGACTGGTGTGGGTCGCATCCTGGGTGTTAGTGGACTGGTGTGGGTCGCTCCTGGGTGTTAGTGGACTGGTGTGTGGTCGCATCCTGGGTGTTAGTGGATTGGTGTGGGTCGCATCCTGGGTGTTAGTGGACTGGTGTGGGTCACATCCTGGGTGTTAGTGATGGTGTGGGTCGCATCTGGGGTTAGTGGACTGGTGTGTGGTCGCATCCTGGGTTGTTAGTGGACTGTGTGGGTCACATCCTGGGTGTTAGTGGACTGGTGTGGGTCACATCCTGGGTGTTAGTGGACTGGTGTGGGTCGCATCCTGGGTGTTAGTGGACTGGTGTGGGTCGCATCCTGGGTGTTAGTGGACTGGTGTGGGTCACATCCTGGGTGTTAGTGGACTGGTGTGGGTCGCATCCTGGGTGTTAGTGGACTGGTGTGGGTCGCATCCTGGGTGGTTAGTGGACTGGTGTGGGTCACATCCTGGGTGTTAGTGGACTGGTGTGGGTCGCATCCTGGGTGTTAGTGGACTGGGTGGGGTCGCATCCTGGTGTTAGTGGACTGGTGTGGGTCGCATCCTGGGTGTTAGTGGACTGGTGTGGGTCGCATCCTGGGTGTTTAGTGGACTGGTGTGGGTCGCATCCTGGGTGTTAGTGGACTGGTGGGGTCGCATCCTGGGTGTTAGTGGACTGGTGTGGGTCGCATCCTGGGTGTTAGTGGACTAGTGTGGGTCGCATCCTGGTGTAGTGGACTGGTGTGGGTCGCATCCTGGGTGTTAGTGGACTGGTGTGGGTCGCATCCTGGATGTTAGTGGACTGGTGTGGGTCGCATCCTGGGTGTTAGTGGACTGGTGTGGTCGCATCCTGGGTGTTAGGGGACTGGTGTGGGTCACATCCTGGGTGTTAGTGGATGTGTGGGTCGCATCCGGGGTGTTAGTGGACTGGTGTGGGTCGCATCCTGGGTGTTAGTGGACTGGTGTGGGTCGCATCCTGGGTGTTAGTGGACTGGTGTGGGTCGCATCCTGGGTGTTAGTGGACTGGTGTGGGTCGCATCCTGGTGTGTTAGTGGACTGGTGTGGGTCGCATCCTGGGTGTTAGTGGACTGGTGTGGGTCGCATCCTGGGTGTTAGTGGGACTGGTGGGGGTCGCATCCTGGGTGTTAGTGGACTGGTGTGGGTCGCATCCTGGGTGTTAGTGGACTGGTGTGGGTCGCATCCTGGGTGTTAGTGGACTAGTGTGGGCCATCCTGGGTGTTAGTGGACTGGTGTGGGTCGCATTCTGGGTGTTAGTGGACTGGTGTGGGTCGCATCCTGGGTGTTAGTGGACTGGTGTGGGTCGCATCCTGGGTGTTAGGGACTGGTGTGGGTCGCATCCTGGGTGTTAGTGGACTGGTGTGGGTCGCATCCTGGGTGTTAGTGGACGGGTGTTGGGTCGCATCCTGGTGTTAGTGGACTGGTGTGGGTCGCATCCTGGGTGTTAGTGGACTAGTGTGGGTCGCATCCTGGGTGTTAGTGGACTGGTGTGGGTCGCATTCGGGGTGTTATGTGGACTGGTGTGGGTCGCATCCTGGGTGTTAGTGGACTGGTGTGGGTCGCATCCTGGGTGTTAGTGGACTGGTGTGGGTCGCATCCTGGGTGTTAGTGGACTGGTGTGGGTCGATCCTGGGTGTTAGTGGACTGGTGTGGGTCGCATCCTGGGTGTTAGTGGACTGGTGTGGGTCGCATCCTGGGTGTTAGTGGACTGGTGTGGGTCGCATCCTGGATGTTAGTGGGCTGGTGTGGGTCGCATCCTGGGTGTTAGTGGACTGGTGTGGGTCGCATCCTGGGTGTTAGTGGTCTGGTGTGGGTCGCATCCTGGGTGTTAGTGGACTGGTGTGGGTCGCATCCTGGGTGTTAGTGGACTGGTGTGGGTCGCATCCTGGGTGTTAGTGGACTGGTGTGGGTCACATCCTGGGTATTAGTGGACTGGTGTGGGTCGCATCCTGGGTGTTAGTGGACTGGTGGGGGTCGCATCCTGGGTGTTAGTGGACTGGTGTGGGTCACATCCTGGGTGTTAGTGGACTGGTGTGGGTCGCATCCTGGGTGTTATTGGATGGTGTGGGGTCGCATCCTGGGTGTTAGTGGACTGGTGGGGTCATCCTGGGTGTTAGTGGACTGGTGTGGATCGCATTCTGGGTGTTAGTGGACTGGTGTGGGTCGCATCCTGGGTGTTAGTGGACTGGTGTGGGTCGCATCCTGGATGTTAGTGGACTGGTGTGGGTTGCATCCTGGGTGTTAGTGGACTGGTGTGGGTCGCATCCTGGGTGTTAGTGGACTGGTGTGGGTCACATCCTGGGTGTTAGTGGACTGGTGTGGGTCGCATCCTGGGTGTTAGTGGACTGGTGTGGGTCGCATCCTGGGTGTTAGTGGACTGTGTGGGTCACATTCCTGGGTGTTAGTGGTCTGGTGTGGGTCGCATCCTGGATGTTAGTGGACTGGTGTGGGTCACATCCTGGATGTTAGTGGACTGGTGTGGGTCGCATCCTGGGTGTTAGTGGACTAGTGTGGGTCACATCCTGGGTGTTAGTGGTCTGGTGTGGGTCGCATCCTGGATGTTAGTGGACTGGTGTGGGTCACATCCTGGATGTTAGTGGACTGGTGTGGGTCGCATCCTGGATGTTAGTGGACTGGTTGGGTTCATCCTGGATGTTAGTGGACTGGTGTGGGTCACATCCTGGATGTTAGTGGACTGGTGTGGGTCACATCCTGGATGTTAGTGGACTGGTGTGGGTCGCATCCTGGATGTTAGTGGACTGGTGTGGGTCACATCCTGGATGTTAGTGGACTGGTGTGGGTCGCATCCTGGGTGTTAGTGGACTAGTGTGGGTCACATCCTGGGTGTTACTGGACTGGTGTGGGTCGCATCCTGGATGTTAGTGGACTGGTGTGGGTCGCATCCTGGGTGTTAGTGGTCTGGTGTGGGTTGCATCCTGGGTGTTAGTGGACTGGTGTGGGTCGCATCCTGGGTGTTAGTGGACTGGTGTGGGTCGCATCCTGGATGTTAGTGGACTGGTGTGGGTCGCATCCTGGGTGTTAGTGGACTGGTGTGGGTCGCATCCTGGGTGTTAGTGGACTGGTGTGGGTCACATCCTGGGTGTTAGTGGACTGGTGTGGGTCGCATCCTGGGTGTTAGTGGACTGGTGGGGTCGCATCCTGGGTGTTAGTGGACTGGTGTGGGTCGCATCCTGGGTGTTAGTGGACTGGTGTGGGGTCGCAATCCTGGGTGTTAGTGGACTGGTGTGGGTCGCATCCTGGGTGTTAGTGGACTGGTGTGGGTCGCATCCTGGGTGTTAGTGGACTGGTGTGGGTCGCATCCTGGGTGTTAGTGGACTGGTGGGGGTCGCATCCTGGGTGTTAGTGGACTGGTGTGGGTCGCATCCTGGGTGTTGTGGACTGGTGTGGGTCGCATCCTGGGTGTTAGTGGACTAGTGTGGGTCGCATCCTGGGTGTTAGTGGACTGGTGTGGGTCGCATTCTGGGTGTTAGTGGACTGGTGTGGGTCGCATCCTGGGTGTTAGTGGACTGGTGTGGGTCGCATCCTGGGTGTTAGTGGACTGGTGTGGGTCGCATCCTGGGGGGTTAGTGGACTGGTGTGGGGTCGCATCCTGGGTGTTAGTGACTGGTGTGGGTCGCATCCTGGGTGTTATTTGACTGGTGTGGGTCGCATCCTGGGTGTTAGTGGACTAGTGTGGGTCGCATCCTGGGTGTTAGTGGACTGGTGTGGGTCGCATTCCTGGGTGTTAGTGGACTGGTGGGGGGTCGCATCCTGGGTGTTAGTGGACTGGTGTGGGTCGCATCCTGGGTGTTAGTGGACTGGTGTGGGTCGCATCCTGGGTGTTAGTGGACTGGTGTGGGTCGCATCCTGGTGTTAGTGGACTGGTGTGGGTCGCATCCTGGGTGTTAGTGGACTGGTGTGGGTCGCATCCTGGGTGTTAGTGGACTGGTGTGGGTCGCATCCTGGATGTTAGTGGGCTGGTGTGGGTCGCATCTGGTGTTAGTGGACGGGTGTGGGTCGCATCCTGGGTGTAGTGGTCGGGTTTGTGGGTCGCATCCTGGGTGTTAGTGGACTGGTGTGGGTCGCATCCTGGGTTTAGTGGACGGTGTGGGTCGCATCCTGGGTGTTAGTGGACTGGTGGGGGTCACATCCGGGGTATTAGTGGACTGGTGTGGGTCCATCCTGGGTGTTAGTGGACTGGTGGGGGTCGCATCCTGGGTGTTAGTGGGACTGGTGTGGGTCAATCCTGGGTGTTAGTGGACTGGTGTGGGTCGCATCCTGGGTGTTATTGGACTGGTGTGGGTCGCACCCTGGGTGTTAGTGGACTGGTGGTGGGTCGCATCCTGGGTGTTAGTGGACTGGTGTGGATCGCATTCTGGTGTTAGTGGACTGGTGTGGGTCGCATCCTGGGTGTTAGTGGACTGGTGGTGGGTCGCATCCTGGATGTTAGTGGACTGGTGTGGGTCGCATCCTGGGTGTTAGTGGACTGGTGTGGGTCGCATCCTGGGTGTTAGTGGACTGGTGTGGGTCACATCCTGGGTGTTAGTGGACTGGTGTGGGTCGCATCCTGGGTGTTAGTGGACTGGTGTGGGTCGCATCCTGGGTGTTAGTGGACTGGTGTGGGTCACATCCTGGGTGTTAGTGGTCTGGTGTGGGTCGCATCCTGGATGTTAGTGGACTGGTGTGGGTCACATCCTGGATGTTAGTGGACTGGTGTGGGTCGCATCCTGGGTGTTAGTGGACTAGTGTGGGTCACATCCTGGGTGTTAGTGGTCTGGTGTGGGTCGCATCCTGGATGTTAGTGGACTGGTGTGGGTCACATCCTGGATGTTAGTGGACTGGTGTGGGTCGCATCCTGGATGTTAGTGGACTGGTGTGGGTCGCATCCTGGATGTTAGTGGACTGGTGTGGGTCACATCCTGGATGTTAGTGGACTGGTGTGGGTCACATCCTGGATGTTAGTGGACTGGTGTGGGTCGCATCCTGGATGTTAGTGGACTGGTGTGGGTCACATCCTGGATGTTAGTGGACTGGTGTGGGTCGCATCCTGGGTGTTAGTGGACTAGTGTGGGTCACATCCTGGGTGTTACTGGACTGGTGTGGGTCGCATCCTGGATGTTAGTGGACTGGTGTGGGTCGCATCCTGGGTGTTAGTGGTCTGGTGTGGGTTGCATCCTGGGTGTTAGTGGACTGGTGTGGGTCGCATCCTGGGTGTTAGTGGACTGGTGTGGGTCACATCCTGGATGTTAGTGGACTGGTGTGGGTCGCATCCTGGGTGTTAGTGGACTAGTGTGGGTCACATCCTGGGTGTTAGTGGACTGGTGTGGGTCGCATCCTGGATGTTAGTGGACTGGTGTGGGTTGCATCCTGGGTGTTAGTGGTCTGGTGTGGGTCGCATCCTGGGTGTTAGTGGACTGGTGTGGGTCGCATCCTGGGTGTTAGTGGACTGGTGTGGGTCGCATCCTGGGTTGTAGTGGACTGGTGTGGGTCGCATCCTGGGTGTTAGTGGACTGGTGTGGGTCGCATCCTGGGTGTTAGTGGACTGGTGTGGGTCGCATCCTGGATGTTAGTGGACTGGTGTGGGTCACATCCTGGATGTTAGTGGACTGGTGTGGGTCGCATCCTGGGTGTTAGTGGTCTGGTGTGGGTCGCATCCTGGGTGTTAGTGGACTGGTGTGGGTCGCATCCTGGGTGTTAGTGGACTGGTGTGGGTCGCATCCTGGGTGTTAGTGGACTGGTGTGGGTCGCATCCTGGATGTTAGTGGACTGGTGGGTCGCATCCTGGGTGTTAGTGGACTGGTGTGGGTCGCATCCTGGGTGTTAGTGGACTGGTGTGGGTCGCATCCTGGGTGTTAGTGGTCTGGTGTGGGTCACATCCTGGATGTTAGTGGACTGGTGTGGGTCGCATCCTGGGTGTTAGTGGACTAGTGTGGGTCACATCCTGGGTGTTAGTGGACTGGTGTGGGTCGCATCCTGGGACAAAACTGACCTAATTTAGGGGAAATGCTCAAGATACAAGCAGCTTTCTATATAGCAGTATGTCATTGATCTCAGCTATGGTCTGTATAAGTTGCATCGTGTACCTGTAGAAATAACTGTTATCATTATTGTAAATAGTCCGTGTTATTTATACATTGTTCCAGTCACGATATTGTACTTTTTGTCTATTTAAAATATCCCAAGGTTACCCATGTCTATATATATCACATATATATATTAGTAATTTATATTATATCTTACCGTTCATAAACACACCTCTTATAATGCTTCTATATAATGCAAGTGCAATTGAAATGTTGCATTGGAAATTGCACACCGTGTACTGTGAAGGGTTCTCAAGTGATGTTTAAGTTTAAATGTGATTTTTAAATAGTATTTGCTAAAATATCGCACTAAACACAGCTTTATTAACGAGCTTACTTTAATATTGCTAACTTGAACAGTTGAAATATATTATAAGAGTAGATTTAGGTAGTGTAATAATAATAATAATAATAATAATAATAATAATAATAATAATAATAATAATAATAATAATAATAATAATAATAAAAATAATATCTTTATTTACTACCAGTACATGTACAAGGTATACCAGTACATGTACAAGGTATACCAGTACATGTACAAGGTATACCAGTACATGTACAAGGTATACCAGTACATGTACAAGGTATACAAGTACATGTACAAGGTATACAAGTACATGTACAAGGTATACAAGTACATGTACAAGGTATACAAGTACATGTACAAGGTATACAGACCATAGCTGACATCAATGACATACTACTATATAGAAAGCTGCTTGTTATGCTGAGCATTTCCCACAAACAATTGTCCTCAGACTTCTGCAACATAACTGTCATCTAATATTTGTTAAGTTATACCATGAATTAAGTAAAGATCCTGGACTTCACCTTACAAAACAGACAAAGCAAATGTGATGATAATTATGGACAAGGTAGATTATAGGAGAAAATCATGATATTAGGAGACAGGGAAACTCAGGCGCCTCTTAACCCTGTCACGAGCAAGACTGTGAACATTTGGGAAGAACAGATACGAAAAGCAGACTGGGAAGACAGTGGTTTCAAGTCTTAAAGAAGGGTAGAGATCGAGAGGTAAGTATAACAACGAGCATATCACTGGAGGCGCACACCAGCTCAATAACAAGATCAGTTTTACGACCCATGTCAGACCTCTTACAGAGTACGCACCACCAGCATGGAACCCTCACCGTCTCAAACATTCCAGAAAATCCAGAGTTTTGCTAAGAGACTAATCCAGGAGCTAAGAGAAATGACTAATTAAACTCTTACAACACTGGAGACGTGAACCTGCAAGACATGATCATGTTAAAAACACTCGGACAGTCAAAGACTTTTCGAGACGATGCGTCCGGAAAGAAATGAAGTGCAGATAGAAGTGAAACTAGCACTCATAGGAATGTTAGAAAATACAGTATTTTTGGGCATATAAGGCGCACGTTTGTATGTGACATAGAAGACGATGTTACCTATCCGTTGTCACGTAACGTTAGTAAACAACTGTTAAAGCGTAACATAAAGACTACACTTGACCCTCACCATAGGCATATAAGACGCAGGCTGATTTTCCAAGACTTGTGGGGGAAAATAAGTGCGCCTTATATGCCGGAAAACACGGTATTTCAGCATAAGATTGATTAAAGAATGAAACAATCTGAATGAGGACTTAACTGAGGAAAAAAAATAAATAATACATATGAGCTTTATAACACACACGGATAATACGAAAATCGGTATGGTAGAAACACGAATACAGTAACAATACAATGGTAGCTGCGAAGCGGGGCCAGGAGCCGCGCCTCGACCCGCAGCGACAAGGTTAGTACAGACCTGGTGATTGAGGTGGCCAGGAGCCAGACCAGGAGACAGGCGGCAGCAGCACGGGCCCTACTGCAGGTGGCAGCAGCGGTCAGCGGGTGACAGATGGCTCTGTACCGCTCCACAGAGATGGCTAGGATGGTCAACATGGAGGCGTGTGCCACGGTAAACTCCAAGTATGGTACAACCTTACCTGGGGAGCCAGGGAGGACAAGTGTTAGTACAACCTTACCTGGGGTAGTCAGGAAGGACAAGTGTTAGTACAACCTTACCTGGGGAGTCAGGGAGGAAAAGTGTTAGTACAACCTTACCTGGGGAGTCAGGGAGGACAAGTGTTAGTACAACCTTACCTGGGGAGCCAGGGAGGACAAATGTTAGTACAACCTTACCTGGGGAGTCAGGGAGGACAAGTGTTAGTACAACCTTACCTGGGGAGTCAGGGAGGACAAGTGTTAGTACAACCTTACCTGGGGTAGTCAGGAAGGACAAGTGTTAGTACAACCTTACCTGGGGAGTCAGGGAGGACAAGTGTTAGTACAACCTTACCTGGGGTAGTCAGGAAGGACAAGTGTTAGTACAACCTTACCTGGGGAGTCAGGGAGGAAAAGTGTTAGTACAACCTTACCTGGGGAGCCAGGGAGGAAAAGTGTTAGTACAACCTTACCTGGGGACCCAAAGGGGGGGAAACAAATGTTAGTACAACCTTACCTGGGGAGCCAGGGAGGACAAGTGTTAGTACAACCTTACCTGGGAAGTCAGGGAGGACAAGTGTTAGTACAACCTTACCTGGGAAGTCAGGGAGGAAAAGTGTTAGTACAACCTTACCTGGGGAGCCAGGGAGGACAAGTGTTAGTACAACCTTACCTGGGGAGTCAGGGAGGACAAGTGTTAGTACAACCTTACCTGGGGAGTCAGGGAAGCAAGTGTTAGTACAACCTTACCTGGGGAGTCAGGGAGGAAAAGTGTTAGTACAACCTTACCTGGGGAGTCAGGGAGGAAAAGTGTTAGTACAACCTTACCTGGGGAGTCAGGGAGGACAAGTGTTAGTACAACCTTACCTGGGGAGTCAGGGAGGAAAAGTGTTAGTACAACCTTACCTGGGGAGTCAGGGAGGACAAGTGTTAGTACAACCTTACCTGGGGAGTCAGGGAGGACAAGTGTTAGTACAACCTTACCTGGGGAGTCAGGGAAGACAAGTGTTAGTACAACCTTACCTGGGGAGCCAGGGAGGACAAGTGTTAGTGCAGCTTTACCTGGTAGTCAGGGAGAACAAGTGTTAGCACAACTTTACCTGGTAGTCAGGGAGAACAAGTGTTAACACAACTTTACCTGGTAGTCAGGGAGAACAAGTGTTAGTACAACTTTACCTGGTAGTCAGGGAGAACAAGTGTTAGCACAACTTTACCTGGTAGTCAGGGAGAACAAGTGTTAGCACAACTTTACCTGGTAGTCAGGGAGAACAAGTGTTAGCACAACTTTACCTTTTAGTCAGGGAGGACAAGTGTTGTACAACTTTACCTGGTAGTCAGGGAAACAAGTTTTTAGCACAACTTTACCTGGTAGTCAGGGAGGAAAAGTGTAGTACAACTTTACCTGGTAGTCAGGGAGGACAAGTGTTAGCACACTTTAATGGTAGTCAAGAAACAATTTTGTTTTAGCACAACTTTACCTGGTAGTCAGGGAGAACAAGTGTTAGTACAACTTTACCTGGTAGTCAGGGAGAACAAGTGTTAGCACAACTTTACCTGGTAGTCAGGGAGAACAAGTGTTAGCACAACTTTACCTGGTAGTCAGGGAGAACAAGTGTTAGCACAACTTTACCTGTAGTCAGGAGAACAAGGGGTTAGCACAACTTTACCTCGTAGTCAGGGAGAACAAGTGTTAGCACAACCTTACCTGGTAGTCAGGGAGAACAAGTGTTAGTACAACATTACCTGGTAGTCAGGGAGAACAAGTGTTAGAACAACTTTACCTGGTAGTCAGGGAGAACAAGTGTTAGCACAACTTTACCTGGTAGTCAGGGAGAACAAGTGTTTAGCAAAACTTTACCTGGTAGTCAGGGGAGAACAATTGTTAGCACAAACTTTCCCCTGGTAGTCAGGGAGAACAAGTGTTAGCACAACTTTACCTGGTAGTCAGGGAGAACAAGTGTTAGCACAACCTTACCTGGTAGTCAGGGAGAACAAGTGTTAGCACAACTTTACCTGGTAATCAGGGAGAACAAGTGTTAGTACAACTTTACCTGGTAGTCAGGGAGAACAAGTTTTTTAGCACAACCTTACCTGGTAGTCAGGGAGAACAAGTGTTAGCACAACTTTACCTGGTAGTCAGGGAGAACAAGTGTTAGCACAACTTTACCTGGTAGTCAGGGAGAACAAGTGTTAACACAACTTTACCTGGTAGTCAGGGAGAACAAGTGTTAGCACAACTTTACCGGGTTTAGTCAGGGAGAAAAGTGTTAGTACAACCTTACCTGGTAGTCAGGGAGAACAAGGGGTTAGCACAACTTTACCTGGTAGCAGGGGAACAAGTGTTAGCACAACTTTACCTGGTAGTCAGGGAGAACAAGTGTTAGGACAACTTTACCTCGTAGTCAGGGAGAACAAGTGTTAGCACAACCTTACCTGGTAGTCAGGGAGAACAAGTGTTAGTACAACTTTACCTGGTAGTCAGGGAGAACAAGGGGTTAGCAAAACCCTTTACCTGGTAGTCAGGGAAAACAAGTGTTGCACAATTTACCTGGTAGTCAGGGAGAACAAGTGTTAGCACAACTTTACCTGGTAGTCCAGGGAGAACAAGTGTTAGCAAACTTACCTGTAGTCAGGGAGAACAAGTGTTAGTACAACTTTACCTGGTAGTCAGGGAGAACAAGTGTTAGCACAACCTTACCTGGTAGTCAGGGAGAACAAGTGTTTAGCACAACTTTACCTGGTATTTCAGGGAGAACAAGTGTTAGTACAACTTCCCTGGTAGTCAGGGAGAACAAGTGTAAGCACAACCTTACCGGGTTTAGTCGGGGAAAACCCAAGTGTTAGCACACTTTACCTGGTAGTCGGGAGAACAAGTGTTAGCACAACTTTACCTGGTAGTCAGGGAGAACAAGTGTTAACACAACTTTACCTGGTAGTCAGGGAGAACAAGTGTTAGCACAACTTTACCTGGTATTCAGGGAGAACAAGTGTTAGTACAACCTTACCTGGTAGTCAGGGAGAACAAGTGTTAGCACAACTTTACCTGGTAGTCAGGGAGAACAAGTGTTAGTACAACTTTACCGGGTTTATCAGGGAGAACAAGTGTTAGCACAACTTACCTGGTAGTCAGGGAGAACAAGTGTTAGCACAACTTTACCTGGTAGCCCGGGAGAAACAAGTGTTAGCACAACTTTACCTGGAAAGGTCAGGGAGAACAAGTGTTAACACAACTTTACCTGGTAGTCAGGGAGAACAAGTGTTAGCACAACTTTACCTGGTAGTCAGGGAGAACAAGTGTTAGTACAACTTTACCTGGTAGTCAGGGAAAGAACAAGTGTTTAACAAAACCCTTACCTGGTAGTCAGGGAGAACAAGTGGTTAGACAACTTTACCTTGTAGTCAGGGAGAACAAGTGTTAGCACAACTTTACCTGGTAGTCAGGGAGAACAAGTGTTAACACAACTTTACCTGGTAGTCAGGGAGAACAAGTGTTAGTACAACTTTACCTGGTAGTCAGGGAGAACAAGTGTTAACACAACTTTACCTGGTAGTCAGGGAGAACAAGTGTTAGCACAACCTTACCTGGTAGTCAGGGAGAACAAGTGTTAGCACAACTTTACCTTGTAGTCAGGGAGAACAAGTGTTAGCACAACTTTACCTGGTAGTCAGGGAGAACAAGTGTTAACACAACTTTACCTGGTAGTCAGGGAGAACAAGTGTTAGTACAACTTTACCTGGTAGTCAGGGAGAACAAGTGTTAACACAACTTTACCTGGTAGTCAGGGAGAACAAGTGTTAGCACAACTTTACCTGGTAGTCAGGGAGAACAAGTGTTAGCACAACTTTACCTGGTAGTCAGGGAGAACAAGTGTTAGTACAATTTTAAACCTGGTAGTCAGGGAGAACAAGTGTTAGTACAACTTTACCTGGTAGTCAGGGAGAACAAGTGTTAGCACAACTTTACCTTGTAGTCCGGGAGAACAATTTGTTATATAAAAATTTTTACCTGGTAGTCAGGGAGAACAAGTGTTAGCACAACCTTACCTGGTAGTCAGGGAGAACAAGTGTTAACACAACTTTACCTGGTAGTCAGGGAGAACAAGTGTTAGCACAACTTTACCTGGTAGTCAGGGAGAACAAGTGTTAACACAACTTTACCTGGTAGTCAGGGAGAACAAGTGTTAGTACAACTTTACCTGGTAGTCAGGGACGGGTCTACTATGAAACTAATGAAGCTTAAGCTTCAGGGCCCCTAATCCCTGAGGGGCCCCAGAAGCCACTTTAGTCCACATTGCTTAACAATTTTGGGTCTACTGTATGAGAAGTCGTTGCAAAGGGGCCCTTATAACAGTTCAAGCTTCAGGGCCCCAAAAGTGTAGGGCCTCCACTGCCTCGTAGTCAGAAAGGACAAATAGTGAGGGACACATTAACGTCAGTGTGAATTTGTAAATGGTCCAAGTTGGACCAAAACGTCGTGATCCCTCTCTCTCCCCTCTCTCTTCTCTCTCTCTCTCTCTCTTTTCTCTCTCTGTCTGTCTCTGTCTCTGTCTCTGTCTCTCTCTCTCTCTCTCTCTCTCTCTCTCTCTCTCTCTCTCTCTGTCTCTGTCTCTGTCTCTGTCTCTGTCTCTCTCTCCTCTCTCTCCCCTCTCTCTCTCTCTCTCTCTCTCTCTCTCTCTCTCTCTCTCTCTCTGTCTCTGCTCTGCTCTCTCTGTCTGTCTGTCTGTCTGTCTCCTTTTCTGTCTCTCTGTCTCTCTGTCCCCTGTCTCTGTCTCTCTCTCTCTGTCTCTGTCTCTCTCTCTCTCTCTCTCTCTCTCTCTCTCTCTCTCTCTGCTATGTGCGGGTTATTTGTGTAATGTTCCTGTCACGGTATTGTGCCTTTTTGATATTTTAAATCTATGTTTCGCCTGTGATATTCCATCACGCAGGATGAGTTACACAGTGTTGAAATGTGTCAGCCTGAGGTGGCAGACTTCAGTAGTGTGTCAGCCTGAGGTGGCAGACT